GATCCGCTTCATGCCATCATACTGTTGAGGTAGTCCACGCGTAGTGGGCTGCGACCAGTCCGCATCATCGAGCTTGGTCGTCATCTGCCAGCTCGGTGGAGTAGTAGCCGTGGTATTCTTCTTCTTCTTGAGTTTCTTCTTCTTGGGTTCCTTATCCGCTGCTGGAGGTGTTGAACCAATCGGCCTCTCCTTCAACCACTTAGTGATCTCTGGAAAGATTTTGTCCGCCTCCATACGTGAAATTTCTGCCGTGCGCTCTTTACTCACGTTCCTGAGGTGATCGTAGGTCTTCTGAGCTTGAGGCGTGCCTTTGATCTCGAGCACCGTCGTGGCCCGAGATGCCATCATTGCGGGAGTGTTGGCCAACTTCGCCAATCTCTTGCGCAGCGCAACCTTTGCTCCACGGTCTGGTCCATTGCCGTGGAGCGCATGTTGAAGTCGATTCCATGCTTGGTGGGTTATCAACCACCTGTATCCGAACGAATATTCCCGATCACCAGGAAAGACGAAGCCCCAACAACATCCTTCCTCAAAACTGATATCAATATTCTGAAGAACAAACATGTGAACGTACTTCGCAACGTCATCGAAAGCGCCGTGCCCCAACGCATGGTCACCTCCCCACTCCGTTGTCATGACAACCGAGAGCTCGAAGTTGGAGCCCAGAAGGTTGTACGTCTCGGTGGAGCTGGCCCAGGAGCTCATGATCAAGCCCCTCTGGTCATACTCCACTATGTCACGGAATACCGCGGCCTCCTTCTTCCGGAGGGCGCCCGGGGCCGACCCCAGGATTGCTGCTGCGCCCATGGTAGGAACGACAAGCCAATCCAGAACGCGGGCCCCGACCCGGGGCAAAGCTAAACCGACCCGGGGCCAGTCCGGGGCGCGGGCCCCGATCGGGAAGGGCGCGCCGCTGGATGGCCCCAAGGGGAGAGGGGCACCCCCTCCCCCTCCCATTCCCCGATCGGTCGTCGCCCCCCCCCCCCCCCCCCCTTTCCCGATCCGTCGTCGGGGGCCCCCCTGCACTTTTCGGGTCAGTCGCCGGGCCCCCCTCCCCAGTGGCGGGTCCGACCCCCCCCCCCGCCCCCCTTGGGCCGCCAAGTTCGAAAATTGCTCAATATGAATACTACTCTCCCTCTTCCCCTGACGACGGCTTGAAAATGCTCGACCCCCCCCCCGCGTATTGTTTTTTTGCACGCAGGTTTCCCCGAAATTTGTTTTTTCGCCTACACTTGTTCAAAATCCTGCTCTCGCGGAGGCGCCGGCCTTACTTTCGGGCCCCACTCGTTCCGAGTCGTGCTCCCGCTGCAACGCTGGCCCATTTCCGTGCTTCCGCTCTCTCCGAATCGCGCCCCCGCTGCAGCGCTGGCCTCATTTCCGCGCTTCCGCTCGTTTCAACTCGTGATCCCGCTGCAGCGCTGGCGTCATTTCCCGTGCCATGCCACGGCGCGCAATGCAATGCTACGTTGATACTACGCTTTGCGGTGCTCTCCTACGCCACGCCACGCCGTGCTCTACAATGCATCGCGTACCCTGTCGGGGTCATTGCCCTGCTCGACATCCGACTGTTCGAATAGAGAGGGATCTACGCCATGGTAAGGGATGGGCGGGAAAGGTAGGATGTCAGATATGACGCGAGCGTACCTAGCTTGAACCCCCCCCCCCACCCCCCTTTCGCCGCGGCGCCCCCGGTCTCCAGAACCAGACCTCTACCGCCCCGAACACCAAACCTCACCCCTGTACTAACCCCTAACCCATACCCCCTGACCCTGACCTGTATGCCAAACCCTAGCCCCAAACAGTACTCACTACTCATTAAGCACTACTCACTACCCACAATTCACTACTCGCTACTCCCGACTCACTTCTCACTACTCACGACTCACTAGTCACGACGTTCTACACACTACTCCGTACACCCTACCCCCTACTCGCTACTCAATACAAACTACCCACTACCCACTGCCCACAACTCACTACCCACTATCCACTACTCGCTACTCCCAAAACAGTACTCACTACTCACTACTCGCTACCCCCCACGCCCTACTCGCTACTCAATACCCACTTCTCGCTTCTCACTACTCACTACTCACTATTCACTACTCACTACTCACAACACACTACTCACTACTCACTACTCGATACTCCCTACTCGCTACGCACTACTCCCTACTCGCAGCTGGTTCCTAACTACTCCCTCTTCACTCCTCGCTACTCACAACGCCCTACTCGCTACTCACTACTCACTACTCGCTACTCCTTACCCCTTACTCCCTACTCGCTACTCGCTAGTCACCACTATCTACTCACTACTCTGCGATCGCTGCGCACTACTCACTACTCACTACTCACTCCTCGAAATTCGCAACTGTCTACTCCCTTATTCCTAATCCCTGCTTACTACTCACTATGCACTGCTCACTACACACCACTCGCTCCCCACCACTCACTTGAGTACGCTTGAGAGGCCAAGTCGAGAGGGTTGGGGCGCAGGGCGCCCGGAAGGCGTGCCACTTCATTGTTCCATCTGCAATGTCTGTTTAGAATGAGCTGGCCGCCATGGGCGTCGCGCCGACACCTCCAAAGTTGCACGGGCGACCAGGAAGTAAGTTGTCAGGTTCCTGCGATCACATCTATAGAAAGACAAGGTCCCTGGCCCAAAAACAAATTCACCTACTCACTGCTCGCAATTCCTTGATCACTACTTCCGTCCCGCTACTTACTACCCAGTACTCGCTACCCGCGACTCTCTACACGCTACTCACTACGACCACTACCCATTACCCACTACTCACCACTCACGACTTACCGCGCACTACTCACTATCAAGTACCCACGATTCACCAATCGCAATTCAAAACGCCCCACTCTCCACTCACTACCCGAGAGCCCCCCCCAGCCACTTGTCCGGCGCAAGAGGAGGGGGGGGGTCTACCCCCCTTCCCCTAGGGCTGAATGCCCAGGATTGCTGTCGCGCCAGCGCCGAGCCACGCCCCGCCGAGCCCGGGGGGTAGAGTTGAATGACCAGACATACTGCAGGGGACCTATATAAAGTTTGGGGGCGAGGTCTGGGTAGATGACCCTCTGGGAAATACCCCGGTAGATCCTCGACGAGTTTGATCGCCGTCGTGAGCGCGGCGGAATAATTAGATGTCTGAGCGGGGGCCCCCATCGACCCCTCTCGAGGCCAGCGTTCGACCAGGGGGGGCGCGGCGGGCCGCTCACCTGGCGCGAGAGAAATACATCGCCATGAATTGCGCGTCGGGGTCAGCCCCGAGCGCCTGGCCAGACGCTTCAACGCTGGACAGAAGTGGGTGGGTGACCCATGCTGTTGCTCCCCATCCATCCCCCCTCGCCTGGCCACCCGACTGGCCCTGCTGACTCCTCGCGCCGCTCGCGACCCGCCCTCGTTCTCGCGGCGTCGCCAGCCCATCGCGCCAATGGACTGATTCTAGCTGAGTCGGGCGGACAACTTAACTGAGCATGGGCGCGCCATGCTCGGGCCTGGGCCAATATCGGGCCCGCCGATCGGCCGGGGGAAGGCCCATTTGAGCCCGGGGGGGCCTGGGCCAAGATGGCGGCCCACAACTTTGGCACGCGATGTCTCAACGCCTTTCGCATTGCGGTCGACCACATCGACCTTCATGAGAGAGAGGGCAGCGCCGCATCCGCCGACCCCGACGCGGGGCACGCAGATCCGAAGAGGGCGCTTGAAGCTGTTAGCGATGCCCTGACCATGCCCGGCGCCGAACTGCTGCGCAAGGGCGACCGGTCCTCGGCAACATTTCACCTCGGACTCCAGCGCCACCTGTTTCCGAAGAGTGGCAACCTGATCCAGGCCCCCTCTTCCTCCCCCTCCTCCTCCTCCTCCTCGTCCTCCACCTCGTCCTCCTAAGCCTCCTCATCCTTCCGCCTACCTTCTCGCCCTCCGCCCCCTCCCCCCCCCCCTCCTCCCCCCCCTCCACCCCCCTCCCCCATGTCCGACCTCCTTCCTCTCTCACTCCTCAATCCTTGCCCCCCCCGCCCGAAGCCTTCGAGCGAGGGGTCGGCGTGGCGGGGGGGGGGGGGGGGGGCAATCGCCAGTAGCGACCTAGGTATCTGCACATCATACTTGCCGGCTCACGGGCTGGCCTCGTTGAGCCCGACGCTGCAGGGGGAAGGGGGGCGATCGTCGCGCTGGCCGAATGGAGAGCAGGGGGGGCGACGCGACGTGCCCCGACGCCGCGAGCGAATCGGCGGGCAGGGGGGGGCCCGCGCCAACCTCTGAGCACGTCGGGCAGCGGGCGGGGCCGAAAAGAAGCGAGGCGACGGCGCGCGCAGGCCGCGCGGGGGCCGCGCGCAGACCGTGCGCCGGGGCAGGCGGGGCGACGGAAGAGATGCGGAGCAGCAGCCGCGGCCGACGCGACCAGTCGGACCCTCGACCCCGGGCCGGGAGGGGGGAACGGGAAACTGCGGCAGCAAAGAATGCGATGGAGAGAGGAGGGGCAGAGGGCGAGAAATACGCGAAGGACGAAGAGGCGGAAGAAGAGGGGGGGGGGTCGGACAAGCGACGGCGCTGATTGCGCGCGAATTTAGGGCTGACTCACTTGCTCTTTCGAGCTGGCTTCAGCTGCGAAGGGCTAGCCCCCTCTCGTCTCCGCCCGTCGCCCTATGAACCCTGGGCCTGAACGCGAAGCCGCGACGGCTGGGCTCCAGGGCAGTGCACAAAAACAAATAGACAATCATATGATAACATCGAGAGTTCTCGCGGCGTCGGCCCCTGTTCCGCGCCCGGGCCAATGCCCGCGCGCGTTCGGGGCGTCGAAAGTGGGGCGGGGAGCTCCTCGGTCAACCCTCGCACGCGGGCCCCCTCCTTCTCGGAGTCGGCCTCTGCGGCCTCCTCGCGCTGGCCCTCCCTGGCCTCGTTCAGGAAGGAGTGCAGCTTCACCGTCGATGTCTTCGCCAAGTCCAAAGCGGCCTTTGTGCGCCATCCAATTTCTTTAAGCAATCCGCGCCACGGCACTGCTTGGCCTCGATCGCCGCGTTCAGCGCGTCGTGGGCGGCGGCGATGGTCGCCGACGTCGCCTCGGCCGTCTGCGCGCGCCTGGACAGCGCGCACTCCGCCACGCCAGGATCAGAGCACTCTGCGTAGAGCTTATCCAACCCGCCGACCGTCGTCGAGATCGCGTCGCAGGCTTTCTGGGCACGCGCAAGCCGCTTCCCATTGACTTCGTTCTTGCTGTCGTCGGCCCCCCCCCCCCCCCCCCCCCCCCCCCCCCCCCCGCCCTCAAGCGCGGTTTCTGTTTTCCGCCTTCGGCCTCTTCGGCGCTGTCTTGGTCTCCTCGGCGTCGGCCTTGCGCTTCTTATCCTCGGCGGCGCCCGCGGTCTTCGACTTGCAGCGGCAAGCCTCTCACTCGCCGCCCCCTGTGCTCGCGCGATGACGTTGCCGGGCGTTCGCTTTGATATACGCCGCCATCTCGGACCTGAAGGAAGCCCCACTTTCGCAACGTGGTGACTTCATTGTGGCCCTGATTTTCCCCAGCGCCCAGGTGGCGCACAGCTTCAGATGCGAGAATATTACGGCACTGCCGCGCGTTCCTGACGCAGGAAGGGCTGCGAACGGGCTAATCCCATAGCCCTGCAACACGTTCATGACTTGGGAAAGCTGACTTGGCGAGAATCCAATGGCCCTGCCACGCGTTCGTGACTTGCAGAAAAAAAACTGCCCCCTGGCATACTGCCCTAGATCGCCGTGCCACGACGCGCGTTCTTGCCTCGGGAGGTGCCGGGGCTCTAAGGGCATGACAAGTAAGACGTGGCTCTGCGCGCCCCGGCTGCCAGACTTGGCGACGCCCGCGCAAAATCGCCCAATGTCCTCCAGACTGCCAGTTCGCCGCGCGACGACGCCTCCGCCGTCGCGCGCGCCCGAGACCTCGAGGGCGCCCTGCCCCCCCTTCGCCGCCCGACCCGCCAGCTCGCGCGCGCGAAGAGGCGGAAGAAACTTGCGCTTCTCATCGAGTGGGCTGCCGGGCTGGGGCGCGCGGGAGAGATTGAGCGCGCGTTTGCGCGGCGAGATAATCTCTCGCCTGACGTCCTCAAGAGCTGCCAGGGCCGCCTCGGCCCATCGCGGACATATATCATGTGGGAAACTGTTCTTCTTCTGGATCCTCTTCACCCCCCCCCCCCCAATGCCCCCCGCCATGCCGGCCCGCTTTGCCCCGATGGCCTGTTGCGCTGGCACCGGAGGGGGGCCCAGCACATGCAGACGCCCAGCATCGCGCGCCCCCCTGCTCCTCCATTTCGAAGCCGAGCAGCCAGAGGTCATGCAAGAGCTGGCGCCACGCCAGCCCTCCCTCGATTTCATCCATAGTTGCTGTGATTTCTACCACTGCGTGGCTCGGGTGCACCAAGATTTCGGACTCGATGTGCTCTCGCATCGCCCTCTCGCAGTTGGAGCCCACTGTGGCCCCGCGACCCACTCCGCCAGGCACGTCCAGGACGCGCTAGGGACCGAGCGGGGAGGTCGCGGAGGCCGCGTTCAGGCCGCTCTGCGCCTGGCCGCTGCTCGCCTTTCCTGCCGGCGGGGGCGCCAGCTGCGGTCGTATCCAACAGAAAATAAGCTCGCACGCGGAACGACAAACGGCCTTGGGCACAAACGACCATGAGAACGTTGGCAGATTGTGCCCAATGGCTTATAGCCGTGGCATGCACGTGTAAGCCAGCGCACCTGTCGGTGCATGTGCTTCCACGTGCAGGCCAAGTTCCCTGGCTCTGATTCCAGAAAGGAAGTCGGCGGAATAAGATGTACCACCAGGAAAAATTCACCACTCTGTGCCGTGGAATTGCGACATTCGGGATGGAGCCAACCGCGTGAAGATGAGGCCAGCTCCGATACCAAGTCGGCATGGCTATGGTGAGCCGTACAACACACTACGCCTCAAGCGTACCAAAGCACCCCTTGAATTATCCATGCAATAGGTCTGAGCGGGTAGATGAGAGATAGGACGTTGGAGTAGGGGGTGCGTCGTCGAAAGAAGTGGACGCATCCGTTTTTGCGTTACTCGGATGCTATAGTGCTGGGGGCACCATATAGAGCGACGTCGCTTGACCCCCAACGGGGTCGGGACGCAGGCGCGTCGCTCGTATGCCGCCTTTGACCTCCGTTCGAACTCCTCTGGAGGCCATATTGGGCCGTCTTGGGCGTTTCTTAAGCCGTCTTGCTGGCCTTCGGTGCGTCTCGGGGCCCTCGTGGGTCGTCTTGGGATGATCTACGAGGCCTCTGGGGTCGCCTTGGACGCGGCGATAGCCGAGAAATCGCAGATGCTAGACATCAGTGTTGCCCTCAGAACCTTGGGATGGCTCATGGCAGCCTCATCCGGCGTCCTGGAGGCCTCTCGGGCCGCCTGGAAGCCATCTGGATCGTCCTGGGTCGGTCGCTCGGCGACTCGGAGCCCTCTTGGACCGTCTGAAAAACATCTTGGGGCCATCTTGGCCCGTCTTGGGGCCCTCCTGGGGCCCTCCAGGAGCGCTCTGGACACAGCCCCACATGCGGGCTCCAGATCAATAGAGCGCCGAAAACCAAAGACTCGCCGAAAACCGCAAGGGCACGAAAACCAGAGGGCGCTATAAACCAGGAAACGCCGAAAACCGAACGGGCACCGCAAACCGAAACGGCGCACAAAGCCGAACATGCGCCGAAAGCCAAAGGAGCACCAAAACCCAAAGGAGGGCCGAAAACCAAAAGGGCGCCGAAAACCAAAATCGCGCCGACAACCAAAGGGGTCCGAAAACCAAAGGAGCGCCAAAAACCAAAAGAGCGCCGAAAAGCACAGGGGCGCAGAAAACCAACCGGCACCGAACACCTAACGAACGTCGAAAACCAACGAGTCGCCGAAAACAGAGAGAAGCTCCGAACACCAGCGGGGCGTCGAAGACCAAAGAGACGCCGAAAATCGAAAGAGCGCCGGATACCAGAGCAGCGCCGAACACCAAAAAGGTGCCAAGAACCAAAAGAGCACCGAAACCCAAATGGGCGCCCAAAAAAAACGGGTCACCGAACTTGAAAAGGACGCCGAAAACCAAAGGGGCGCCGAAAACCAGTACAGAACCGACAACCAATGTGTCGCCAAACACCAAAGAGGCACCGCAAACTAAAACACTGCCGACAACCAAAGAATCGCCGAAAACCGAATGGGCACCAACGACCGAAACGGCGCCGACAAACCAAAGGAGAGACGAAAAACAAATGAGCACCGAAAGCCGCAAAGGCGCCGAGAACCTAAGGAGCGCCGAAAACGGAAACAGCCCCGAAAACCAAACGAGCGCCGAAAACCAGGGAAGCGCAGGGAACCAAAAGGAGAACGAACACCAACAAAGCGCCGAACGCAGAAAGGTGCGCCGAAAACCAAAGATGCGCCGGAAACCAAAAGGACACCGAAAACCAAAAGGACACCGAAAATCATAGGAGCACCGAAAACCAAGAGGGCGGCGAACCCCAAAGAGGATCGAACACCAAGGGCGCCAAAAACCAAAAGAAACGCCGAAAAACCAAGGGGCGCCGAAAACCAACGATGCGCCGAAAACCTAAAGGCGCCGAAAAACTAAAGGCGCCGTAAGACCAAAGTGGCGCCGATAACCACAAAGGCCCAGAAAACGAAAGGGGTGCCGAAAATTTGATAAGTTCCAGAGACGAGTAGGGGGCCGAAAACAAACATGGCGCCGAAAACCAAAGGGGCGCCGAGCACCAAAGGGGCGCCGAGAACCGAAGGAGCGCCGAAAACCAACGATGTGCCGAAAGACAACAGGGCACCGAAAAACCAAAGACGCGCCGAAAACCAAACAGGCGTCAAAAACCAAAGGGCGCCCAAAGCGGAAGGCGCACAGATAGCCGAAGAGAGCCAAAACTAACGCGGCGCCGAAAACCAAAGAGCACCGAAAACCAAAACAGCGCCGAAAACCAAAAGAGCGCCGAAAAGCAAAGGGCCGCCGAAGACCAAGAGAGCACCGAAAACCAAGAGAGCGCCGAAAACCAAAGAAGCGCCTGAACCCAAGGGGGCGCCGAAAACCAACCATGCGCCGAAAACCACAAAGGGCGCACAGAAAAACAAACAGGGCGTCGAAAACCAAAGGAGTGGCGCCAAAAACACACGAGCGCGAAAATCAAAGGAGCGCCGAAAACCCAGGGAGCGCCGAAAGACCCGAAACGCTCCGAAACCAAAGAGGCGCCGAAAACCAAAGAGACATCGGAAACCAAGAGCGCGCCGCAAACCAAGAGATTGCCGAAAACCAGAAAGAAAATTAGCTTCGACCCCCTTTCACCCTTTCAGCCGGTGTCCTCTGGCTGGAAGGGCCAACAGAACGAGGGAAGGGGGGGAGCTTCGGAAGCCCCGTCCCCTTTGGAAAGGAAAGTCCGGGCTTGCCCTGGGCCCCAAAAAAGGGGGGGGGGGGGGGGCAGTTTCCAAGACCACCCCCCTTTAGCCAGGGACCCCCCAGCTAAAAAAACCAAACAGAAGGAAGGGGGGTAGCTTCAGAAACCCCCCCCTTGAAAGAGGTGCCTGGGCTGACCCCGGGCCCCGAAAAGGGGGGGAGGGAGGGGTAGCTTCCAAGCACCCACCCCCCTTAGCTAGGGTACCCCCCAGCAACAAATACGCACTGAAGGGGGGAGGGTGAGGGGCTTCGAAATCCCCCCTCCTTTTTCAAAAGTGGGGAGAACTTGAAGCTGATGCCTCCTTTGGTAAGAAGTGCGCCACGAGCGCGCACACACACACATACACACACACACATATACATACATACATACATACATACATACATACATACATACATACATACAGGCAGGCAGGCAGGCAGGCAGGCAGGCAGACAGACACACAGACAGACATACAGACATACATACACACATACACACACATACACACATACACACATACATACATACATACATACACAAATACATACATACGTAGCACCCCGCAATTGCGGATAAGAGTGAGGGGGCGGGCGCGGGCGACTCGGGCGTCGTCGAGCCGGCGGACCTCGTGGCCCCCACCTTCCTTGTCGATGGCGCTCTCCTCCACCTCCTCCTCCTCCTCCTTCCCCTCCTCTTCCTCCTCCTTCTCCTCCTCCTCTTCCTCGTCCTCATCGTCATCGTCATCAACCTCCTCCACCTCGTCCTCCTCCTCCTCCTCCTCTTCTTCCTCGTCCTCCCTCTCCCCCCCTCGTCTTTTCATCATGGTATTCCCATTGTCGTCCTCCCCCTCATCGGCCCCCATCATCGTCCTCCCATTGTCGTCCATCTGCATCATCCTCCCCATCCTCCCCCTCCTCGTCCTCCTCCTCCCCCTCCTCCCCCTCCTCCCCTTCGTCCTCCTGCTCCTCCTCCTTTTCTTTCGCCACGTTCTCCTTACACCCTCTCTTCTTCCACGTTCTCCTCGTCCCCTGTTTACTCATCCTGCCTCCCCCTCCTTTCCCAAGATAACTGCAACGCAATCCTTTTTTCCCACTTCATGCTCCCCGCCTTCTCTGATCAAGGCAACTCGCCAGGGCAAAGTTGCTGGACGGGCTGGCGTGGATGTGCGGGGCGTGAAGAGGTCTGTGCAGGCTCAGACGGCATGCAAGAATCCGCCGCCGCGCTTGTGCGGCATTGGTTTGTTCAGTGAACGTGGTTTAGGTCGCGGGTGGGTCGCAGGGCTCTCCACCTCCACCTGGAAGGAATGCAAAAGCAGCCCGCCGCAAGCGCCAAAAAAATTGGTTCGTACACGGAACGAAGTTTGGGTCGCGGGTGGGCCGCGGGTTCTCCACAGGGAACGAATGCAAAGGATGCCCGCCGCAGGCGCCGAAAATGTGTTTTGTACCCTGAACGTGGTCGCGGGTGGGCAGCGGGCTCTCCACCTGAAGCGAATGCAAAATATGCCCGCCGCAGGCGCCGAAAAATGTGGTTTGTACCCTGAACGTGGTTTGGGTCGCGGGTTGGTCGCGAGTTGGTCACGGGATGTGTCGCGGGCTCTCCACTTGGAAGGAATGCAAAAAAGCCCGCCGCAGGCGCCGAAAATTGTGGTTTGTACCTTGAACGTGGTTTGGGTCGAAGGTGGGTCGCGGGTGGGTCGCGGGGTAGGTCGCGGGGTAGGTCGCGGGTGGGTCGCGGGTGGCTCGCGGGTGGGTCGCGGGTGGGCCGCGGGGTGGGCCGCGGGGGGGTCGCGGGGTGGGTCGCGGGGTGGGTCGCGGGGTGGGTCGCGGGGTGGGTCGCGGGGTGGGTCGCGGGTGGGTCGCGGGGCGGGTTGCGGGTGGGACGACGACAACAAACAACAACAACAACAACAACAACAACAACAACAACAACAAACAACAACAACAACAATAATCCGCACCGCGGAATTTCACATCAGCCACGCACCCAGGGACAGTGAATGACCGTTCGGCCCCCTCACTCTGTACATACATATATATATATATATACAAATATACACACATGCATGCGTGCATGAATGTATACATACCTACTCACACACAAACGATACATACATGCATGCATACATTCGCACATGCCTAGAAACACACATACATGCCTACCAATATGCATGCATACATACATACATGCACACGTGCATGCATGCATCTATACGTACGTACACACATATCACATGCATATCCCATACATATCACATGCATGCATACATGCATGCATACATGCATGCATACATGCATGCATACATACATGCATACATGCACATGTACATACACATACAGAATACACACATGCATGCATGCATACAAATATGGATACATGTAGACCTGCGTGCATACACACATTCATGCATGCATACAAACACATGTACACATACACACATATGCATGCATATGCAGGCATTTTATGCATCCATACAAACATACGGACCAACCGACATGCATGCATACATACATCAACATACATCGGGGGATAGCTTCCAAGCCCCCTTCCCTTGAGCCAGGGCCCCCCCTCCCTCCGAAAACGGAAGAGGGGGGGTATCTTCGGAAGCCCTCCCCCCCCCCCCTTCCAATGGAGGGGGGGTAACTTGAATCTGGGGCGCCACGAGCGCGCTCTTCATACATGACAACATACATAAGTACATACATACATACAGACAGACAGACATACACACATGCACACACACTTACACACGTACACACATACGTACATACATCATACCATGCCATGTCATGCCATATCATACAGACATACACGCATACATGCATACATGCATACACGACTGCACACATGCATGCATGCATACACGCATACATGCAAGCATACAAACATGCATGCATGCATGCATACATGCATATATCCGTAGATGTATACATACATACATGCATACGTACATGTTACATTCCTACTACCTTCACAATACATGCATGCATGCGTGCACGCATGCATGCAAACAAACACGTATGCATACATGCAATGCATTACTGCGTACAGACATACATACCTGTATAACAATTCATGCGTGCATGCATGCATGTGTATATATATGTATATATACACAGATGTGTCTTTATACATATATATATATATATATATAAAAGTGTAGTTGTATACATATACATATATATATATATATATACAGATATGCGAGCCTGTCGAGGTCTCCGACGACCGACCCCCCAGGGCTGCGGCCCTGGACAGACCCGCTCCCCCGAGGCACCCGCGCGGCCGCCCGGCGCAGGCCGTGCCTCGCGCGCCTCTCGCGCGCCGTGCCCGGGCTCGCCCTCCGAGGCAGCCACGACGCCGGAGCTCCGGGCGCCGCCCGGCGGCGCCTGTCGGCGGCCGAGGCGCTCGCGAGGACGCCGCCCACCTGCGCGCCGGAGGGGGCGGGGCGCGGCGCGCCCGTGCGCCAAGCCGGCGGCGGCGCGGAGGCCGAGGGGGGATCGAGGGGGGTCGAGGGGGGCAGAGGAGGAGGAGGAGGAGGAGGAGGAGGAGGAGGAGGAGGAGGAGGAGGATCGGGGGAGGGTCGGGGAGGGTCGAGGAGGGTGGGGAGGGTCGAGGAGGATCGAGGAGAGGACACGGAGACCGCAAGGGGGGACCGAGGAGGAGGGGGACCGAGGATCGCGGAGGAGGACAGGAAGGTCGAGGAGCAGGAGGAGGAGGAGCTGGGGCCGCATCCACGCGGAGTGCGGCTACCGCGTGGACTACCAGAAGCACGTCCCGGCATGGGACCGCTGGCGCTGGCATTGCCCTAGCTGCGACACGAGCGGGCACACGCCAGACCGGCCGGCGGGGCCCTGCGGCCGCTGCGGAGCGGCGCTGCAGGCGGAAAGGGAGGAAGCCATCCTCGACCTCGACATTCAGCGGGCGGGCTGCCCCAGGCTGTTTGTCGACGTCACCGTACGCTACTGCGTGCCAGGCGACGCCCGCGCCCTGGCTGCCGCGGCCGGCCGCGACGGCGCGGTGAACGCCGAGGCCGAGGCCGACAAGCAGCGGCGCTACCCCGCGGGCCGCACCCCGTGGGGTATGGTGCCGCTCGCCCTCGAGACGGGCGGCCGGCATGGGCAGGCAGCCCTTCGGCACCTCCGCTCGCTGGCGCGCGACGAAGCGGCCCTCCTCGGCGAGGAGGCAGCGGCGGCCGCCGCGAGCGCCCTGGCGAGCCGCTGGGGGCGGGAACTCAGCGTGGCCCTCCATAGGGCCACCGCCCGGCAGCTCCGCACCGCTCTCGGGGCGGACGGCGCCGAGCGGGCGGCCGCGCTGCGGGCTGCCGAGGCGGCCTAGCCGGCCTGGCGCGGCGGTGGAGGAGGCGCACTACCGGGTCGTCCTGGGGCCGTACATCTGCATCGCGGAGCTCGGCCTGAACAGAGGGGGCGGGTGTGCGTGACTTGTCTCCTGCTTGAGGAGGAGCTGGAGTCCTCCGTCTTGGCCCGCCCCTCGTTCCGCCAGTTCGCGGGGCCAACTCTGGCCTCCCCTCCCGAGCGCCCGCGTCGTGAACGATCACGACACGACGTGTTTGGCTGTTTTCGGTCTCGGGGGGGCCCTCGCCGAGCCCCGGGACGGTAAAAAACTGTTCGAAATGAAAAACAGGCCCTGGGGGACGGGTCGGGACTTCCAGGGCCCCCGCATGGACAAACATCAAAACATCGCATGTAAATCTGGAAAGAATGCGGGTTAGAAAACAACTCCTGGGGGGTATTCGCAAGAGCGATTAAGGTCTAGTACGTCCGATCGACTGGCTACTCAGCCCCCGATTAGCCCAGATTGGTCCAGGATTGAGCCAGAGGAAAGCGGAACAAGGACTGTTAAGCAGGCTGTAACAGACTAGCCTGGTTGTCGGCCACCGATATATCAGCACAGATGCTGAATTCAATCTGCCAGGCGTTGCATCCTAACATGGAGGACAGTCGACACACCAGAGGAGCCGCCGAAGGCCAGCAGAACCCTTCCAACGCCAGCGCCAGATTACACGGACCCAGACAGCGAACGACGTGGCTTTCTCAGTCAGAAACCCTCCGGGCTCCGAAAACTCTCCCAAGGAAAGAACCCAAAGGCGCCAATGGACGTCCCGCGCAGGGAGTGGCGGGTGCGACGGGACCTGCGATTTCGCATTGTTTCCGGATGATTCCACGTCGTCATCGCCAGACAGCGTTTCTCAGCCCTGGTTTTCATGGTTACGTGTCAAAGCCATGGAGCCCCACGACGTCATCTTGGCACCGCACTACCATCTATTAGTGGCCATTACCGCCCATTACCGCCTATGCGCTGGGGGTGGTTTCCATATCCGTTTCGAGTCGCAAAGCCTGACAGGCTTGGCACTTCCTCGGCATCACAAGGGGGGTGCGCTGGGGGTGGTTTCCATCTGCGCTTCAGGCTTGCAAAGCGTCGCAGGCGTGGATGTCCTCGACACCACAGGGGATGCGTTGGGGGTGGTCTCCCTGTCTGCTTCGGGCTCGCAAGGCGTGGCAGGCTTGGCAGTTCCTCGGCACCACAAGGCGTGCGCTGGGGGTGGTTTCCATATCCGCTTCGGGCTCGCAAAGCGTGACAGGCTTGGCAGTTCCTCGGCACCACAAGGGGTGCGCTGGGGGTGGTTTCCATATCCGCTTCGGGCTCGCAAGGCGTGGCAGGCGTGGATGTCCTCGACACCACAAGGGGGTGCGCTGGAGGTGGTCTCTCTATCAGTTGCGAACACGCACAGCGTGGCAGGCGTGGTACTGCCTCGACAACACAAAATATGCGGTGGGGGGGTCTCCCTATCCGTTTCGGGCTCGCAGAGCGTGGCAGGCGTGGTACTTCCTCGATACCGCAGGGGGTGCGCAGGTGGTGGTCTCTCTCCGCAGTCTCTACACGCCCCAGTCGTGGGCGTGGCACTTTTTCGGCACCATAGGGGTGCGCAGGGGGTGGTCTCTCACTGCGGTGCCTATACGTCCTAGTCGTGAATGCGGAGCAAGCACGTCACATTCTCGACACCACAGGGAATGCGCAGGGTGTGGTCCCTCACCGCGGTGCCTATACGCCCCAATCGTCCATGCACAGCAGGCGAGGCACGTTCTGGACACCATAGGGCGCAGGGGGTGGTCCCTCACCGCGTCGAGACTTGTGCGCCGTCCGCCTGCCCACCGCGTCGAGACTTGTGCGCCGTACGCCTGCCTGCCTGCATCCCTACTCTCTTCCGTGGTCACCATAACTCACGCTGTTGTTCGCGCGAGGAGTCATTCTCCCAAGGCTTGACCGTCGTCACCAATGGTATCGGCGGGGCAATGGCCACCAGCGTCATCCTCGCATGCTTCACTTGAGCTATCATCACTCCAGACATAACATAAGCATGTGGGGTTCCTCGGTAGCGTAATTGACGGTATCAAGGTCCTGCGAGGGCCCCCAGGGGCCGAACCTTGCAACACAAATCGTACGCGAGGGGATGTGCTGGGACGGGCGCGGGGTTTGTCACATTACGGGGACAGTGACATTCTCAACTGATGATAAGATGGGTTATATCTCGGCTAACCTAACCTGGCTTAAGTCGGTCACAAATACCCGAACTGGATTGGGGAGTCCGATACCTCCGATCAGTGGACGGAACCCAGTTAGCCAATATCGTAAACCCACGGGGCATTTACAGTCCACCTATGGGAGCCCAGGTATGCCTCACTTTGACATCCACTGATGAACCACGGATCCCCCTACTGAAAGAAAGGCAACTGCGCAAACTGTTTCACTTTTGAAGCTCCGGGCGGCCTTGTTGGATCGGCGCTGGACATCCCCCTCCCTGGCGCGAGGGGCGCGCCAGGGACGGCGCCGGCGCGCAGAGGTCCACCAGTTTGTGTTCGTGCCGTGGTTCCTTTTTCGACCCTGGCAGCCCCCGTGGCGATCCCAGCAGGGGCGGAGCCTTGCCAAAAACCTCGCCTTCCGCGGTAGATTCCGCAGCGCGCGGGGCTCTGGGCCCGGGCCGGCCCGCGCGCCACAACAGCTCCCCAAGAGATCCCCGAATCAAATCGATGTCCGTATCGGCGACGTCGGCAGCCGAGTTGGAAGAACTCGAATCGGCTGAAATCGGTTAGCCGTAAAAAAAAATTCCACCGAGAAGCCGGAAGCAACACCGGGATATCCTAAATCGAATGAAATCGGAAGCGGCATCCGTCGAGACACTGAGAGACCATACTCCACATCGGAATCCGAAAGCGAATCGCATCATAATCGGAATCCACTGAAACCGAATCGAACACGAGGAATCAAAACGAGCCCTGCACCTTCTCGCCGTCGCCCTGGCACGCCCAGCGGCGCGTGACGCTCCTGCGCCGCAGCCGCGCGCCCAAGCCGCGGCGGCCGGGGCCGGCCCCGCACAAGTCCTGGCCGCGGGGCCGGTTGGCACAACAGCGGGCAGCCGGATCGGCTCGAGACGGCGCGCGTCGGAACGGGCCCTTGCACTGTGCGCGCCCTCTGGCACTCACGCACCAAAGACTGCGCGTTCTGAGCGTAGCCTTCCGTCCCCTCACGCGCTCCTCCTCCTCCTCCTCCTCCTCCTCCTCCTCCTCCTCCTCCTCCTCTTTTGGCTCGAGGCTCACGTAAAAAAACATCCCGGCTCATCGCCCGTAGTTCCTGTTGCCTTCGCTGTATGTCGACCCAACGCCGATGGGGAACTTCGTTCCCGAGCGACCCTGGCGCCCAGAGGCACTGCGGCCGACGTGTCCCGGGCGGCCTCAACCCTGGTAGACAAATAGGAGATGCTAGTAGTGCCTATACTTGGTGCGCGCCTGCTGCAGCGAAGGGTCGAAACGAGCAAAATACGAGTCTGTTCTTCTGCTGCTGTGACTTGAACCTCGTATTGACCAAAGGCAACTTGACGCGTGACAAAATGCTAGTAACAAGAATCGATACTAATGCATAATGCGAATAACAAGGATAGATGCTAGTGGGCACGCTTCTGACTTACAAATAGATGTGCAGTATTGTTCCTTTACTTCAAGAAGTATGACTCCTCGAAACAAATAAAATCCTTGGCCAAACCCACGAATAGACACTCCCAAATCCGCCGGAAAGTCATTAAAGGCTGAAAGACTGGGCGATTCCCGATCCTACGGACTCTGTGGGGGCTCCCAAGGACACCTGAGGCATACGAACGAATCCCGAGTGGATCCAAAGGACTTCTTTCCAAAAATAATCCCTCGGGAATCCCAGACAAGGACCCCAAGGAAATTTTAAGGAAGCCTATGAGAAGGAATCCTGCGGGAATCCTAAGGGATCACCCGGGGATCTTAAAGAATCCTATCCTATGGAACCTCTCGGGAATCAATCGGAAATCCAAAGAAACCCCTCGGTAATCCTCAGGGATCCTAAGGGAATCCTCGAAACCCCTAGGGACCCCCTGCAGCATCTAAAGAAATCCTTCGGAGGCCGGAGGATTTCTGAATGAGCCCACAAGGAAGCCGAAAGAATCCCAAAAAAGGGGTCCCGGAATACCTGAGGAATCCCTTGGTCATCCGACGGAGCTCGGATGAATCCCAAAGAACCCTAAGGAATCCTACATTACGGAATTCCTTGGGGAACACTAAGGAACGCAAGGGGACCATGGGGAATCCGAAAGAACCTTCAGGAATCTGGAGAAAACCAAAGAGATCCTCAAGAATCTCAAGGGCTCCCTGCGGGTATCTGAAGGAATCCCTACGGAATCTTCAGGGGCTCCGGAGGAAGACCCAGAATAATCGAAGGACACCCGAATCTGAAGGAACCCATAGGCATCCTCCCTAGAATCCCACCAGCCCTTTGGGCGTGAGTGGTTTAGAGAGGTCTCTCTGTCCTCAACCCCCCTTCTTCCCCTTCGGGGAGGGGTTTACCTCTCCCCCTACCCTCTCCCCCTGGGCCTGGAGAGGGCGCCCCGCGGGTGGTTGGAGGGGTCTTTTTCGACTCCTGGGAGGGCCAAAAAACGACGACCCTCACGAGGATTCTGGCCCCGTGGGGGGGGAGGGAGTTTGGCGCCTCTGCTCGTCTTTGGAGCAACAAGCATTGATTTTACTAAGGTTTTGGCCCCATTTTGGCCTTCTGAGGGGGCCGCGCTCATCTTCCCTCATAGCAACATCATTGATTTTACGAAGGTGTTGGGCTCATTTTGTCCTTCTCAGGGGGCAGCGCTCATCTGCGCTTCTGAGGAGGTCGCAAGAGGCCCCAAGATGGCCCCAAGAGGCCCCCAGGAGGCTCCCAAGAGGCCTCCAAGAGGCCCCCAAGAGGCCCCCAAGAGGCCCCAAGAGGCCCCCAAGAGGCCCCCAAGAGGCCCCCAAGAGGCCCCCAGAGGCCCCCCCCCAAGAGGCCCCCAAGAGGCCCCCAAGAGGCCCCCAAGAGGCCCCAAGAGGCTCCAAGAGGCCCCCAAGAGGCCCCACGAGGAGCCCGAACGACTCACACCAGGACGAGGGGCCCGAACGACTCACACCACGAAGAGCCCGAACGACTCACACCACAAGGAGGGGCCCGAACGACTCACACCAGGACGAGGCGCCCGAACGACTCACACCACGAGGAGCCCGAACGACTCACACCACGACGCGGGCCCCGAACGACTCACACCACGAGGAGCCCGAACGAGTTACACCAGGAGGAGGGCCCGAACGACTCACACCAGGACGAGGGGCCCGAACAACTCACACCACGAGAAGCCCGAACGACTCACACCAGGACGAAGAGCCCGAACGACTCACACCACGAAGAGCCCGAACGACTCACACCAGGAAGAAGGGCCCGAACGACTCACACCAGGACGAGAAACCCCAAACGACTCAAACCACGAGGAGCGCTTTCTCTCCCTCCTCCTCCGCCTCGTCCTTCTCCCGCTCCCCCCACAAGGAGGATGTACAAGGAGGCGGGAGGAAGGAGGAACAGGGGAGATATGCGGGGTCCAGCGGACACACGCCTGAAAAACACGACTGTCGGCATGCTTCGCAAGAGTTGCTGCTGTGAGATGGGATGGTGGGGATACGCGAAGCGTAAAGATTTTTTTGTTGGAATCCTGAGGATATCCTCTGGAATCTCTCTGGGGCCCTACGGAATCCTGGCCTTCGGAATCCCCAAGGAATCCTTTCGGAGTCTTAGAGCAATCCAAACGAATCTCTCGGGGACCAACATGAACCCTCAGAAATCCTTCAGACGCCAACAAAATCCCTGAGGACTGCTTAGGATACCGTAGGACATCCCAAGCATGCCTGAACCCTAAAGAATCCCCGGTGAACTCCTGTGGGGCCCAAAGGATTCCAAAGAGATACGGAAGAATCCCTAGGGGGGCTCAGGAATCCTTAGGAATCCCGCGGAATCCAGAGGAAACCTTCAGGAAGCGATCCCGAGGGAGCCCCTAAGGAATCCCAAGGAATCCTCTAGGAAACCCTGAGGCACCGTTCGGGGAGCCAAAGGAACCCCAGGGAATCCGAAGGGAATCCTCCAGAATCCTATCCTAAGGGACCCCTACGGAGTCCCTAGGGGAACCAGAAGAATTCCGATGGAACCACTGGGAACCCCAAGCGGATCCCTAAAGAATCCCAGAGGAACCAACCGAGCCCCAAGGAAAACCTCCAAGAGTGCTAAGGGATCCCAAGGAACTCTTGCATTCCCGAGAAATTCCACGTAGGAATTAAAGAAGACTATACGAAAGAATTTCAATGGAATCCATCAGGAATCCAAGAAGGAATCCCTAAGATATACGTGGGGAATCCAAAAGAATCCGCAAGAACCCTCATGGAATCCTAAAAAAACCCTTCGATCCTCCGGAAATTCTTCCGGAATCCTTGGAAATCCATCCGGGGCCCTGAGGATTCCTATCCTACGGGATCTCTCAATAACCCCTCGTAGCCATCCCAGAGAGGCCTCAATCCTCCTACGAGAGCCCCAGAAGTTCCTAGGGAATCCTGAGAAATTCCCTCCGGCATCCTGAAGAATTCTATCCTAGAGCCCCAGGGACCCCGAAGGAACCTAGAGGAAAGCAGACCTTCGCTCGAACGGACTGGCCCTCCTTCCGCGCCTCCTGTCGCCGCGCCTGCTCCCCCGTGCCCCAAGTCGCTGCGAACGTACGAGGCGGGGATTTGTCCATATCCACCGCCTGGGGACCGACGTCCTGGTGCCCCAACGGGCGGTGGACATGGATACGTTTCGGCCCCCGGGAGCCCGAATATGTCCACATCCACCGCCTGCCGAGGCTCCGGAAACTGAACCTCCAGGCGGCGGATATGGAGAAAGTCCCGCCTCGGAGAATGCGCCCCGCCGTCGCTCGAACGCGGCTTGAGTCAAGCGGCCGCAGAGAAATGGCACAGCAAGCGTCGGGGCGGTCGCATGACCGGGCACCAGCAAAGGCCTGACAGGGGGGGGGGGCACGCGGAGGCTCGAGGATCGCGGAGGGGCACGGAGGACCGAGGAGGAGGAGGAGGAGGAGGAGGAGGAGGAGGAGGACGGGAGGAGGAGGAGGAGGAGGAGGAGGAGGAGGAGGAGGAGGAGGAAGAGGAGGGGGAGGAGGAGGAGGAGGAGGAGGAGGAGGGGGAGGAGGAGGAGGAGAAGAGTGGCGCGGCGGCGGCGAGGCGACCTGCCGAGTCGAACCAGACCGAGCAAAACACGCTGAGAGAACACTGCCCAGCAGTGTACGACCCGTCGTGCGCGGTTCGAGCGAGGGAAGGACGACTCTCTCCCGGGGGTGGCAGCGCCGAGCTGTCCTCGCTCGGGGGGAAGGAGAGGTGGAAGCCCCCGTCCAAGAGAACCCTTTCGTGCTGCTGCTTCGCGGGGCAAGCTCAGGCATGGCCTTCCGAACGCGCTCGGCGAGGTGCCGCCGATGGGAGACACCGCGGGGCGCCCGGAGAGCATGGGCCCAGGCATGCTCGCGCCGGGGAGAGAAACACAACGGGAAGCTGCTGGCCGATTTCTGCCACGGGGAGCCCTCGCTGCCCAGGGCCTGGGGAAAGCTCGATCCAGCCATACTTAGGTCGGGCATGTCCCCCTACAGGCGGATATTGGGCGACAAATGAGGAAACGTCAAGAATTATCCCGGCAAAGCAACCTAACAGCGATGTGTAGGAGCATATATGGAAGCATTCCCCTTAAGATTCAGATGAGAATCCAGTTGTAGAATTGTGCTGTTCTCGCAGTCGTAGTCGCATTCGCGATGACAGTCGCAGTGGCAACGGCAGTCACAGACACAGCCTCAGCCTCAGCCTGCCTCAGCCTCAGCCTCAGCCTGCCTCAGCCTCAGCCTGCCTCAGCCTCAGCCTCAGCCTGCTTCAGCCTCAGCCTCAGTCTGCCTTCAGCCTCGGCGTCAGCCTCAGGCTGCCTCAGCCTCAGCCTGCATCAGCCTCAGCCTCAGCCTCAGCCTGCCTCAGCATCAGCCTGCCTCAGCCTCAGCCTCAGCCTGCCTCAGCATTCAAAATGTGGCCCGGGAATGTAGTTCTGGGAACTCGAAGAACACGAAGTGGCCTACAGTTGGCTCCGGGCATTCAAATTCATGCCCAAGAATGGAGTTCTGGGAGCTCGAAAACCACGAAGTGGCCTACAGTTGGCTCCGGGCATCCAAAATCTGGCCCGGGAATGGCCTACAGTTGGCTCCGGGCATTCAAAATCATGCCCAGGAATGGAATTCTGGGAACTCGAAGATCACGAAGTGGCCTACAGTTGGCTCCGGGCATCCGAAATCTGTCCTGGGAATGGAGTTCTGGGAAGTCGAAGAGCACGAAGTGGCCTACAGTTGGCTCCGGGCATCCAAAATCTGGCCCGGGAATGGAGTTCTGGGAACTCGAAGAGCACGAAGTGGCCTACAGTTGGCTCCGGGCATTCAAAATGTGGCCCGGGAATGGAGTTCTGGGGACTCGAAGACCACGAAGTGGCCTACAGTTGGCTCCGGGCATTCAAAATGTGGCCCGGGAATGGCGTTCTGGGAGGTCAAGGAGCACCAAGTGTGTGACTGTTGCATCCGGTTATTCAGAATGTGGCCTGGGAATGGGGTTCTGAGAGGTCGACGAGCACGAAGTGTGTGACTGTTGATGAAAAACAAGCCCGGCACAGGCGCGGCCGGCAACTCCCAACGCCTGCCCGGACCCCCCTGTGGAGTGATCTGTGAGCTCTTTTGAGTCAACTAGAAACCTATCAGTCTACGCTGTTAGGTAAATATTCAAAACATGTCAAACAATCGTCCCCAAACTATGTTTGGAATATTCCTCCTGTAGAGGGACAGGCCCGACGTAAAGCCAGACGGAAACCAAGCAACGTCGTGATTGAGTCAGAAGGAAACCCCTTCAGTTTGAGCCCGTCCCTGCGGGGCGGGGGGGCGGCCCATGAGGAAAGGGGGGGCGGCGGGGTGGACCCGGGATGGGACATGGGGGGAGGCGGACATGGGGGGAGGCGGAGGAGGAGGAGGAGGAGGAGGAGGAGGAGGAGGAAGAGGAGGAGGAGGAGGAGGAGGAGGAGGAGGAGGAGGAGGAGGATAGGGAGAATGAAGGGGAGGAGGAGGAGGGGGAGGGGAGGAGGAGAGGGAGGAGCGGGAGGGGGAGGAGGAGGAGGAGGAGGAGGAGGCGGAGGAGGAGGAGGAGGAGGAGAAGGAGGAGGAGGAGGAAGAGAAGGATAAGGGGGAGGAGGAGGGGAGGAGGAGGAGGAGGAGGAGGAGGAGGAGGAGGAAGAGGAGGAAGAGGAGGACGGGTCGCCTAAGCCCTCCGGAGAAACCCTGCAAGAGAAGGGGGGGCCGGGGGTTGGACCCGGGATGGGACACGGAGGGGACCCCAGGGGGGGACCCTTGGGCGGGTCTCGGGGGTCGCAACCTCTGGGGAGGAGCCCCCCTGTGGACAAGTGATCCCCTGTGGTCACACAGGGGGCACTCAGGGCCACTCCCCTCGCCTCCCCCATGTGGGCAAGAACCTCCCACCCTCCTCTCGGGCCCCTCCCTGGAGGCACCCTCCTCACTCTTATCCTGGCCAGCGCTCGGACGTCCATTCCCTGTATTTTTGTTCGGTTTCGTGCGTGGCTTTTTCGCCAAATGATCAAGGATGCTCCTCGATGGTCCTCGCCGAAGGAAACATGCACACGTCCGAGCGATGCCAGGTATCTGATGTTGCAGGGTGCTTCGTATTTTCACAGATGCCTCCAAGAGGCCGCAGATCCATTCCGAGTTGGCTCCAGAGAGGCCCCCCGGCAGAACCCAGACCGCGCCCAAGAGAGCCCCAAGAGAGGCTCCAGCGAGTCAGCGTCGTCATCGTCGACGCCCCAGCCGCCGCAATCCTTGTCGTCGCCCGCTTCAGGGTCGGCGGCGCTGGCTGTAACCACGACAGGTCTCTAGACACCCTCAATAGTTGAGAACTAATTCTGTATTCGGCGACTCTATGTGGGGGCTGCGGTCCCACCAATACTGAGAACTCATTATTTCTCCGCGGCACCTGACGCACAACAACGACGACGACGACGGCGACGACGACTACGACTACGATTACAATTACGACAGCGATTGCGACAACGATTTCGACCACAACCACGACTAGATTACGACTACAATCGCCACTAAAATCACGACTAAAATCCCGATTACAACCATGATTAAAGTCACGAATACAACCACAATTAGTGATTTCATTTGTATTCCTCATGATAACATGTTCACACATCCTCTTGCGTGCAACGCAGGCATCCCACAATGCGGTGTACCATGGGAGAAATGACCCCCGAACTTTATCATGCCCGCCCATGAATAGAGGGAACATAATCTCCGCCGCGGCGACGACGACGACGACGGCTACGATTACGATTGCGATTACGACTACAGACACGACTACGATTACGACTATACTCGCCATTCCAATCATGATTACCATAACGACTACACTGACGACGACAACCGCAACGACTGATTCCTGTTGTCATGAGAAGATGCTCACACATCCTCTCGCGTGTAGGGGAAGTATACCACACGGATTTCCCATGGGAGAAATAACACCCGAACATGATCAAGCCCGCCCAACAATAGAAGGAATGTAATCTCCGCCGCGACGACGGCGACAACTACGACAACGACCACCAGGAGCAGGAGGAGGACGAGGAGGAGGAGGACGAGGAGGGGGAGGAGAGGAGGAGGAGGAGGAGGAGGAGGAGGAGGAGGAGGAGGAGGAGGAGGAGGAGGAGAAGGAGGAGGAGGAGGAGGAGGAGGAGGAGGAGGAGGAGGAGGGAGGAGGCCGAAGAGGAGGAGGGACGAGTTTAGTTCCCGCAGTGAGAAACAGGGGGGGGGTCGAACTAAAGACCCCCTAAGGGTTTTGAGGGCCCATGGGGCTCGATAACCAGCCCCGGAGGCCGAAATCAACGAAAAATACCAGGACTGAAACAACAATGTCGTCGGGGATCAAGGTCGTCGGAATACTGTAGCCGAGTCAGATCGGGCCAGCCACAATCCATGTCGAGCAGGATGGAGCGGACCTAAGTGGACACTATGGCGATGACGCTCTGGCGGGCGCCCTCCTCCTCCTCCTCCTCCTCCTCCTCCTCCTCCTCCTCCTCCTCCTCCCCCCCCCCGACAATGACGACGACGACGACGACGTCCCCCTACGCCGACGACGGCGACGATGCTGGCGACAACCCCGCGTCCGTCGAGGACCAGCTCGTGCTGGATAACGACGAGGTGCTGTCCGAGCTGGGGTGCAATGCCTCGTGCGGGGCAGAGGTTCGCGGTTCGCGGCCGGGGGGGCGGCCCCCTTCGCTGCAGGCCTGGGCCCTCGCGTTTTTTCGGGGGCGCGCAAACATGGATTAGCGATCCATGGAGTAGGCACGCGGTCGCCAACTCAATGGATCTGGGGAGGTGCCCTCCCCACAATGCGGCCAGCGCCGCCTCGTTCAGCGGCGGGAATCCGCGATTTCCCATGGAAACGGGACCCGTCGCTAATCCACGCCCCCTTGATCCATGTTTGCGATCGCCTGACCAAGGACACACGCAAATTCGCTGGCCCAACGGGCCAGAGGCGTGCTAAGATCTCCAGTAACTGATTAACAATAAACAGTATTTCTAGTTCGCGCGCGCGGGGCGGCCCCTGGGGCCCCCCGGACGAAAAGTACCCCGGCCAGGTCCCAGTCAGGTACCCCCAGAGCACTCCAGGGGAAGGCCATTTTTCGACACCCCTCACGAGGATCGTGGCCTCGGAGGGAGGAGCCGCAATCAACTACCTCCGCCGCCCGCCCCAAGAGCTCCCCAACAGCCCCCAAAGAGGCCCCTGAGGCACCCAAGACGCCGCCAAAGGCCTCCAAGAGGCCCTCAAGAGGCCACCAAAGGCCCAAAGAGGCCCCCAGGAGGCTCAGAAGAAGCCCCACAGACGCCACAAGGCGCTCCAAGGAACTAGAACACTTGTTCCAAGAGAGCTCCAGAGGGCCCCAAAAGGCTCACAGAGGTTCCCATGGAAGTACCTCCTAGACGCTTCTTGAAGCTTCAAACCTGCATCCCAGAGGTCCCACAGAGGCCAACCTGGCGGGATACCCACATGATAATCTCTTTAGCTTGCATGGGGGTATCCTCCTGCCCCTTCGCTTCTCCCACCTACTCTTGCCTCCTCGTTCTCCTCCTGTCTGCTCCTCCTCCTGCCTCAACCCCTGCCTCTTCCTCCTCTTCTTGCCTCCTCCCCCTCCTCCCCCTCCCCCTCGTTATGCTTCCTCCCCCCCATTCCCCCTGCCCCTCCTGCCTCCTGCCTCCTCCTCCTGCTCTCCCTCTCCCTTCTCCTCCTCCTCCTCCTCATCCCCTGTCCTCCTCCTCTCCCTCTCCCTCATCCGCTTCCTCCTCCTCCTCCTCCTCCTCCTCGTTTCCATATTCCTCCCCCCTCCTCCCCCCCCTCCTCCTCCTCCTCCTCCTCCCGCGACCCACCCGCGACCCACCCGCGACCCACCCCACGACCCACCCACGACCCACCCGCGACCCACCCCGCGCCCGCCCCCTCACTCTTATCCGCGATTGCGGGGTGCTGCGTATCATTTCGACGGGCCCCCGCACTAATAGTATCCTTACGAATAAGCCGGTGCTAAAGGAAACAGGAACAACCCATCTTACTACAGGGACCCCGGCCGAGGAGGTCCGTGTCAAGGACATCCTCACCACATATTTCTCACTGAAGGGAGTCTCACTGAGGGTTCCTGTTGCCAAGGCATCCTTACAAATGAACGCAGACTAAGGCATCCACAGTAAGGGCGTCCCAATCGAAGGGGTTCTTACAAAAGGACCCCTTGATAAAGGGCATCCTTACTAATGAATTGTTCCTGATACGAAGGCGTTTGTATGGAGGAATCTCTGCTAATGGAAGTCGTAGTAAGCAATCCTGACGGCAGAGGTCCTTACTGGGGGGCCTCCTTACTAAACGCATCCTCACTCAGGGGGCCGTATTCAAAGCATCCTCACTACGGATCTCTTGGCAAAGGCATCCGTACGAAGGACCCCCTCCTTAGGCCTCCTGCCCCCTCCTGGGGCCTCCTGGGGCCTCTTGGGGCCTCCTGGAGCCTTCTGGGCCTTCCGGGACCTACTGGGGCCTCCTCGGGCATTCCTCCTCCTCCTTTTCCTCCTCGTCCTTCCTCCCCTCAGCCTCTTCCTCTTCCTGCTTTCCTGTCTCGTCCTGCATCATCCCTCCTCCTTTTCCTGGCAATCCTCCTCCTCCTCGTCCTCGTGCGGAACATGACCCAGAGGAAGCGCACGACGTGCGTCCCAGCCGATACGCGCCGGAGGACGACCGAGAGGAAGCGCGCGCCGGAGGATGACCCGGAGGAACCACGTGAGCTGCGGGACCCATAGGAAGGCTCCCGCCTGACGCGTCCTCACAATTCACTCACAGACGAGGGTCCTGCTTGATACTTCTTCCAAATTCAGACCTGAGGAGCCCAAAAGTGACGGCAGTTACAGGAATCCGATGGCCCGCTCGGATTAGTAACATGATCTGCGGGCTCCATAGGGAGGGGGCTCCCGCCTAAGACTTGCTCGCAATTCACTGACTAACGAGGCTCCCGCCTGATACTTCCTTCAAATTCAGACCTGAGGAGCCCAAAAGTGACGACGGTTACAGGAATCCGATGACCCGCTTGGATTAATAACATGATCTGCCAACGGGCCAGAGGCGTGCTAAGATCTCCGGTAACTGGTTAACAATTGTATTGTACTAGTTCGCGCGCGCGGGGCGGCCCCTGGGGGTCCCCCGGCGAAAAGTACCCCGCCCGCCGCCTGGCAAGGTCCCGCCCGGTTCAACTCAGAGATGGTTTTCCTTCTGGGTGCGGCCTCTCAGGCCGCCCTGAGCGCGCCAAGAGTGCCCCAAGAGGCCCCCAAGATTGCTCAAGAGGCCCCCGAGACGTTCAAAGAGCGCTCCAAGGCGCCGAAGATGACCCCAAGACGGCCCAAGAGACCCCCAAGACAGCCGAAGAGGCCTTCAAGACGCCCCAAGAGCCTTCCAAGAGGCCTCCGAAGAGAGCCCCAAGAGGCCAAAATCGTTGATTTTCATTGGTTTTTCCGATGTTTTTGGCGTTCTGGCTTTTTCGGCTTCCGGACGCTCCAAGACGACCCAAGAGGCGCCCAAGATCGCTCCAAGACGGCCCACGAAGCTCCCAAGACGGCCCCGAAACGGCCCAAGAGGGCCCCCAAGACGGCCCAAGTGCCGCCCAAGACGGACCAAGAGGCCCCAAGACGGGCCCAAGAGGGGCTCAAGAGGGATACAGAGAACTGAAAAATCGAGCCCTCCGCCCCAGAAGGCGCCCAGGAGGCCCCAAAAAGGCCCCAAGAGGCCCCCAAGAGGCCCCCAAGACGCCCCAAGAGGCGCCCAAGAGGCCCAAAAGAGGCCCCAAGAGGCCCCAAAAAGGCCCCCAAGAGGCCGCAAAACTCGGCTAGCCCGCAACGGTGCGACAATATGGGCCGGCGGAATGAGCGAAGCGATTAAATAACATGATCTGCGGGCCCCATAGGGAGGGGGCTCCCGCTTGAGACTTCCTCACAATTCACTCACAGACGAGGTTCCCGCTTGAAACTTCCTCCAAATTCAGACCTGAGGAGCCCAAAAGTGACGACGGTTACAGGAATCCGATGACCCGCTTGGATTAGTAACATGATCTGCGGGCCCCATAGGGAGGGGGCTCCCGCCTGTGACTTCCTCACAATTCACTCACAGACGAGGCTCCCTCTTGGTGGATGATGGTGATGGGATGATGACGACGGTGTTTGATGATGATATATGATTGATGATGATGATGATGATGATGATGATGATGATGATGATGATGATGATGATGATGATGATGATGATGATGCTGCTGCTGATGATGATGATGATGATGATAGTGGTGGTGGTGATGATGACGACGTGATGATGATGATGATGATGGTGGTGATGATGAGTGCTGATGGTGAGTGATCGTGCGATTATGATGGTAAGTGGTGGTGATGATGATGGGGACGAAGTGGTGAGTCAGCGAGTAGTGATGATGATGATGATGATGATGATGATGATGCTCGTTCGATGCCGATGATGGTGAGTGATCGTGCGATGGTGATGGTGATGCTGATGGTGATGATGATGATGATGATGAGTGGGGAGTGATGGTGATGGTGATGATGATGCGGAGGAGGAAGCAAAGAGGAGCAGAGGAGAGGGAGGAGGACGAGAGATCCTTCGCGGAGGGTGTGCAGAGAAAACAAGAACCCCACTTAGGATGTGGGGAATAATCAAGCATACACACAAATAGTCAAAAACTCCACCCAGACTATTTTTGGACTGTTTTGAAATATTCCTCCTGTAAAACGACACTCCCGACTTCAGAATGAATGCGCGCAAATCCCAGGATTCCCCATATTGTCTTACATGTTCTCGGTGCTCCTCTTCCCCCCACTCCCCATACTTCCCCATACTTCGGCGATTCATTGTGTCTGATCCACGCGGCGAGGTGAGTCTGGGTCCGCAGCACCTTGGGCTGCGCTCTGGCCAGCATTTTTCCAGCCAGATCCAGCTGTGGCGACGAGGAGCTCTCCTGGGGAGCGACCAACGCTTAGAGACCTCGATCTTCCATCCTTGATGTTTTCTTTTGCCGCGACGCGAAGGAATCTGGGAAGGAGGAGGAGGAGGAACAAGGAGAAGGAACGCGATCTGGGGTCCCAAAACCGTGTGGTGACGGACCGCGCGGTGACCTCGAAGCCCCTAGAGACCTTGCCTCGCGGTCCGTCACCGCATAGTCGTGGGACCTCAGAGGCCCTTGTCGCCCAGGACGTCGTCGGATAACGACCCGAGTCCCAAAACCGTGCGGTGACCCCGAGTCCCCACTGACTCACCGCGCGGTGTAGTCACCAAACCGTCCAAGAAGGGGGCGTCCAAGAGGAGGGTTCGCAAATCATGGCCAAGGGACGTCTAGAAATGAATGCGGCGAGAAATGGCCCTGGCCATGACATACCTCCCCCAATTGTCACCCACCTCTTTGACGCCCTCCCGAAGATTGGGGGTTCCCGAGACTAGCGGAGGATCGCGCCGCATCGCCCGTGCATCGGCGACGTCAGCGTGGAGAAAATCAGGCTCCACATCGAGCCGCATCTGCGATGCATCAGCGACGCGGCGCGATCCACCCCATCTGCTCAGACCCGATCTGGGAGGCCTAGAGAGACGACTAGAATAAGGGAAACGGGTCCTGAGGGGGAAGGGTCCTGGACCCTGGGGCCTTGCCACGGAACGTTTTTTTTCATTCTGAGTCGTTTTCAGACGGTCCCTAGGCCCGTGCCGTGGATGGCCCCGAGAGCCCGAAACCGGTGAAAAACCTCAGGACCCCTTTTCCTCAGGACCTGTCTCCCCCATGGCGAGACGACGACGACGACGACGACGACGACGACGACGACGACGACGGCGAGCGCCGGGGCGAGGTAGTCGATCCAGGGCGCCTCGCAGTCCAAGCAGGTCTTCTCTGCCGCTGGTGCCCGGCGGCGCCCGGCGGCCCCGCGCGGCCGCGCCCCCCACGCCGCCGGGGCCACGCCCGACCACGACGGCGGCGACAGCGATGACGACGGCGGCGCGACGTGGCGGCCGCGGCGGCGGCGGCGGCGGCAGCGGTGACGACGGCAGCGGCGGCGACGGCGACGACCGACGACGGCGGCGGCGGCGACGGCAGGGGGCCCCTGCTCAATGGAGAGGCCTCGCAACCGGAGGGTCTGTGCGCCTCTGGGGGGGGGGAGGCTCTGCGCGTGCCCGAGAAAGGAGGCCCCCTCGCCTCCAGAGCGGAGGACCCCGCTGCATCCTCCCCCTGTGCCCGACCCCCCCCCCACCCCCGTTGCCCTCCCTGGCCCCGCTCCCCCCCTCACGCCCCTGCCCTCCGTTCCCCCCCCCCTCCTTTCCTCACCCACACCCTCCCCTCGTCGTCGTCTCCTCCCTCCCTCCCTCCCTCCCTCCCTCCCTCCCCCTCCCCCTCCTCCTTCTCCTCCTCCTCCTCCTCCTCCTCATCCTCCTCCTCCCCCTGATCCTGATCCTGATCCTGATCTGATCCTGATCCTGATCCTCCTCCTCCTAATCCTCCTCCTCCTCCTCATCCTCCTAATCCTCCCCCTCTCCCCCTCCTCCTCCTCCTCTCCTTTTCCTCCTCCTCCTCCCCTCCTCTCCTCATCCTCATCATCATCATCAGCATCATCATCAGCATCAGCATCAGCATCAGCATCAGCATCAGCATCAGCATCTGCATCAGCATCAGCATCATCATCATCATCATCATCATCATCATCATCATCATCATCATCATCATCATCATCATCATCATCATCATCATCATCGTCATCGTCATCGTCATCGTCATCGTCGTCATCATCATCATCATCATCAGCATCAGCATCATCATCATCATCAGCGTCATCGTCACGACCACCATCATCATCATCATCAGCAGCAGCAGCAGCAGCATCATCATTATCATCAGCATCATCCTCATCCTCATCCTCATCCTCATCATCAGCATCACCACATCGTCATCGGCATCATCATGTTGCTCCTCCTCATGTTGCTTCTCTTCCTGTGCCTCCTCCTCCTCCCCCTCCTCCTCCTCCTCCTCCTCCTCCTGCCTCCTCCTGCCTCCTCCTGCCTCCCTCTCCCTCCCTCCGTTCTCGGGGGTGCGGGGGAAGCCAGCTGGGGAACCCAACAGATACACAAATAACGCTACTCCCCAGACCTCTATCCCAGGGTGGGTCCTGACCAGAATTCCCAAGCAAGTCCAGTCGTGGCGATCAGGGCATCCCAGGAAGCTCAGGAAAGGCGAAGACGATGAAGGGGCAGTGGAATCCATACGTTTTTCTCCTCCGAAGCGCCACCCCTCCCACGAGATCGGGGGCGTCCAAGCGGGCGCGCGGGCGAGGGGGGGTCAAGGGACGCATTGAGATAAAAAGACGGGGTCATGAAACCCGGGGAGATCTCTTGGCCCCAGCCGCGACATTCACCCCCCGTAGTGGAGGCCTCCCAAAGTGGATCCGAGCAGATGGGGTCTGAGAATCGCGCCGCATCGTAAATGCATCGCCGATGCATCGGCGACGTCGACGTGGATAAAATCAGGCTCCACATCGAGCCGCATCGCCGATGCATCGGCGATGCGGCGCGATCCTCCGACCCCTCATGCATCCCCCTCATCCCAGACCCCCGACGCCGTGCATGGTTCACAACGCCGACCCCTCGAGATCTCGGCCCCTGCGCCGGGACCGCTGTTCATCCTGCGTCTTTTTGTTGACGGTCCCAGGGCCTGGTAAGGGCCCCCCAGACGATCAAAAACCTCCGGTCCTTCCCTTTCGTCCCAGCGAAACACCATCCGTCGTGTTTTTGTGCACGACGCGATGCGGTCTGGGAGGGTCCGATCCCCGACCCGCCAGCCGAGCCTCCTCCTCCTCCGAGCATCCTCCTCCTCCCCCTCCACAAATATTGGAGGCCTGGAAACGGGCACCAACACCATATCAGGGGGGGTGCCTCCACAGGGGGAAGATGATCCTAGACTTCGGTGTTGGTGGTAATAGCTCGGCCACCTTGGAAGCCAGAATATTACCACCATCGCCAAGATCGGGATCTTCTTCCCTCGGTGGAGGCACACCGCCGACGTTGGTGTTGGTGTGAACCTCTAGGCCTGCGCAAATACACACTATGAATACTGCTCTCCTCTCACCCCTGATGATGCCTGGGAGATATTCGGCCCCCCTTCGCGTACTGTTTTTCACACACAGGAGTCTGGGAAATGGGCTGTCGCCTGGGCTTTTCTCAAAACTCTGCTCCCTCTGAAGCGCTGCCCTCATGTTCGGGCTTCCGCTTGTTCCGAATCGTGTTCCCGCTGCAACGCTGGCCCCAGTTCCGCGCTTCCGCTGGTTCCGAATCGTGCTCCAGCTGCAACGCTGGCCTCATTTCCGCGCTTCCGCTTGTTCCGAATCGTGCTGCCGCTGCAGCGCTGGTGTCGTCATGTCCAGTGTCAGCTGTGCGATTCCATGCCTTCAGCTGCAATGCCAGGACATGCAGCGTTTGACTACGCAATACCACGCCATGCTATGCCATGCTACGCTTTAGTCTTCAATGCCGTGGTACGCCATGTTCTGGTCTGAGCCACTGTGCGATGCCATTCGTTGCGTTGCAATGCATTGTGATGCAATTCTTTACTACGCCACGCCACGCCATGCTATGACATACTACGCTCTGCCGTGCTCTTCTACGCCCTGCTATGCCGTGCTCTACGGTGCATCGCGCACCCTCCGGGGATCATTGCCCTGCTCGACATCCGACTGTGCGAACAGAGAGGAGATCTACGCCATGGTAAGGGATGGAAGGGATGGATGGGACGTCAGACATGACGCGAGTGCACCTAGCTTGTCCTCCCCCTCCTCCCTCCTCCCCCTCCCCCTCCCCCTCCCCCCTCCTCCTCCTCCTCCTCCTCCTCCTCCTCCTCCTCCTCCTCCTCCTTCTCCTCCCCCCCTTGGCCGCCCCCCGACCCGCCCCCCCCCCCCTTCCGAGCGGCACGGGGCCGCCAGTCTCCGCTGAGCGCCCGCGGCCGCTTGCTGCTGCTGCTGCTGCTGCTGCAGCAGCTGCTGCTCGTGTGGCCACTGGGCCAATCGAGCCGCAGGGAGGTCATGGCCGCCCGGGCGGGCCGCGGGCCGAGGGGAGGAGGAGGAGGAGGAGGAGGAGGAGGAGGAGGAGAAGGAGGAGGAGGCACACATCCCAGCACACATCCCAGTCCAGCGCACATCCCAGGCACGGTCAGTCGGTCGGCCGAAATAGTGCAGAGCGAGATCACAGCCGTAAGTGTGATAATAATTTGTTGTTGCAGCCAGCCGCATCCCCTGCGGGTACGTCCGTCCGTTCCCCCAGCCTCCGAATGTCGAATAGTAGGCGGTTCGGTCCACGTTGACCTCCTCTGGGCGCGCCGGTAATCTATTGTTGCAGCTCGCCACGGCAGAGATGAAATGGGGGAGCGGGTCAGCCCACGTAGCTGTTCTCTCCGGCGCCTGTTGGATCCAGAGGCACCAACGCGTCAAGGAAAGCGCCCCGCGGCGGAGCCGGCACCATCTGCACGTTGCAGATTCCACCCCCACCTTCGTCCGACCCGAGAGGAAGAAGAGGCCGGAGAAGTTGGAGGCGGCCGGGGGGTCTGAACCAGGGGGTCGGCCAAGGGGGGGGGGGCGCTCAAGCCAAATCCCACCAACATTGGTCCCCGGACTACTCCCGGGGTCCATCTGGCACGGTTTTTCACCCGCCCGAAAGCGGCGCCCGAGGACCGAACAAAAAGCCGAACGCTTTCCCGATCCCAGAACCTCGAACCTGCCCGCCCTTCGTGCTGGCCTGAACCGGTGCTGGGCCACCTCAGGCCCCCACCGTCCTCCCACTCAGCGCCCCTCCAACGGGAACTCCACTGACGGGCACTTTGGTCAGTGACCCCGCGAACCCAACACTCCCTGATGTGGGCAACGCCGCAGTGCCAGAAAAAGGCCATCAAAAGGCAACTTTCGGCAACGTTTCAAAACACCCGTTAGGGAGCACCGGTTACGGAGCCGCTGACCGACCGTCTCGGGGGCTGAAGAAGGGGGAGGAGGGGGAGGAGGGGGAGGAGGAGGAGGGGGAGGAGGGGGAGAAGGAGGGGGAGGAGGGGGAGAAGGAGGGGGAGGAGGGGGAGGGGCAGGAGGAGGAGGAGGAGGAGGAGGAGGAGGAGGAGGAGGAAGAGGAGGAGTTTCCCACCGGAGTTTCCCCCCAGCCGCAGTGGCTGTCTGGCCAACGCCCGCGGCGCTTGCCCCTCCCCCAGGTACGCCCCCATGCTCAAGGGGCTCCCGTCCAGGGTATGGGGCTTCCGCGCTCGGGCGCCGTTAGCGGTGCGCTCGGCCTCTGGCCGCTCCCCTGGGCACGCCCGCTTTCTCAACGGGCTCCCCAGCGGTTGCGGCTCTGGGCGGCGCCCACTCCGTCCTTTTGGCGCTCTCCCCACGCCGCGGGCCCCGCTCCCTGGCCGCTCCCCGGGGTGCGCCCGCTTTCTCAACGGGCTCCCCAGGATGTGCGGCGCTGAGTGGGCGCCCCGCGGTCGCGGGCTTCACTCCCCTCCTTCTCGCATCCCTTGCGCGCCTGCGCAAGGACGAGCCTCTCTCCTTCCAGGAGGAACGTCTTCTTGCTCCTGAAGTGGCGAGAGGCCAAGTAGGCTTCCACGGACTCGATGTCGATTGCGTCTCGCCCCAACCGCCGTACCACGCCCACCATGTGCACTCGGCGCGTGTGGTCGCACGGGCCGACAAGCCACCTTTCGACTTCCGCCGTCTCCTGGGCCTCGCGAGCCCTGTATGCTGCGTCGTAGCTGATCGCATCGGGCTCACTCCTCGCCTCCCACTGGTCGCTCTCGCTGTTCGCAGGGTCGCTGGCGTCAGCCTCACCGCGCGCCTGCACGTCGGGTTCCACCTTTGCTCCCGACTTCTCGCACGCGCTGTTCTCAGAGCTGTGATCTGGGGTGTCGGGCTCCAGTTTCGCCTTCACCTTCCCGCACGCACTGGCCTCCGCGTTGTAGCTGAACGTGTCCCCGCTCATGTCGCAAGCGCCGTTTCCACTACATTGGCTGGCGGTGTCGGGCTCCAGCTTCGCTTCACCCTTTCTCGCACTCCCTGGTCTCATCGACGTAGCTGATGATGTCGGGTTCCCGATTCGCCTTTCCTTTCTCGCACTTCTCGCGGAGGGTAGATGGCTCCAGCTTCGCTTGCCCCTCTTCGCACGACCTGGCTCCAGCGCTGTAGCTGATGGCGTCGGGATCCCGTGGCTTCTCCCTCTGCGCGCACACGCACAGCTCTGACCAGGGCCAGCGCCACTGCAACGGAGACGACCACGTCGCCTCGCTCTGCTGTAGCTGGCAGCGACTGGCTCCACCTTCTCCCTCTCGCTCGCCCTGATCCCAACGCTGTAGCTGATGATGTCGGGCTTGCGTTTGCCTCCCACCTCTCGCGCCCCAGCGTCGCTTCCTCTTTTCCGCGCGCCCTTGCCCCAGCGCTGTAGCTGATGATGCCGGGTTCCGTCTTCGCCCCCCCTTTCTCGCACTTCTCACTGAGAGTGTCGGAGTCCAGCTTTGCCCTGTTCTTCGACTCGTGGGTAGGGCTATCGGGCTCCGGTTTCGCCCTTCCTTCCTCGCATGATCCAGCCGTGGCGATGAGGGGTGCCGAGGAGATTGGCATGTTGGGCTCCAGCTTCGCCGCTCCCTTCTCGCAAGCCCTGGTCTCCGCGCTGCGGCTGAACGTGTCGGTTTCGCCCCTCGACCCCCGCAGTTCGCGCGCGCAGATCCCAGATCTGAGTCGGGGGGATCTGGCGGGTTCTATCATCGCTTTCCCCTCATCGCACTCCCTGATCGCCGTGCTGTAGCTGGTCATGTTGGGCTCCATCTTCGCCCCCCGCTTCTCACGAAGGCTCGCTTTCTTGGGCGGGCCTTCTTCTGAATAAGCCTGCATGCGCTGCCCGCCCCACCAAGGTGCCTCCGACAAGAGTGCAGATGTGGTGCAGGTGTCGGCCAGCCGCCAATCCGCCGCCGAGCCCTCCCCAAAGGCGTCGGCGAAGCCGGGGAGCGCTGCCGGCGAGCCCGCGGGCGGGCCCAGCAGGTGCATGGCCCCCACGGCGTGCTGCTGAGCCCACCGCGCCGCCGTTTGCCGCAGGCGCGCCCTCCGCCGCGCCGCCGCCGAGGGCGGCGCGGCGCTCGCGCCCTCTTTCACGGGCGACTCGGGCGGCGCACCGCTGGGCGCAGGCCGCGCACGAGGAGGAGGAGGAGGAGGAGGAGGCGGAGGGGGCGGGGAAGGGGGGAGGGAGGGGGAAGGGGGGGAGGGGGAGGGGAAGGAGAAGGAGGAGGAGGAGGAGGAGGAGGAAGAGGAGGAGGAAGAGGAGGAGGAGAAGGAGGAGGAGGAGCGCACGGCCTTCAGGAAGAGCTCCGACGGGCGAGGCCAGCGGGAAGATGGGCTCGGTGCGCTGTCTGCCGAAGTCGAGCGGCAGCGAATCTCTGGAACGATCGGGCCCCACCCTTACTCCCTTCCAGGGTGTGGCAAGCAGGATGAAATGTGTCAGGAAATGCAGTAATAGAGAAGATGGCGACATGGGACAAGGGGGCAAGCGGGAAAATACAAACAAGATTGCGAGACGAGCTGGCTCCTGGCGGCAGATGCGGGAATCTCGAACGCAGTGGCTCGGCCACCCTCGGACACTGAAGAATATGCAGCAGTGTTTCTCCCGACAGGGCCCCGCAACAGAGACATGCTTGCGCTCTGCCTCTGAATCTACCTGTCGTGCACCATGCATCACATATCGCACGCCAGCAAGAGGGGGCGAGGAAGGGGGGTCAGCAGCACACAGCCTAAGCAAGAAAAGAAAAACCGAATCAGCATTCTCATTCGTTGCGCACGAGAGGAAATGCAGAAGACGAGCGAGCAAAAAAGGGGTGCGGGGTAAAGGGCCTCATCCTCAGAAGTGCGTGCTCGGCTTTATGCTGGAACCGACGATCACCGAATACAGGGGCACGCGGAATGCGACTCAGCTGATCGCAGTTGTTCATCATGGTGACACACACGCACTCTCTTTCCACCACGGGTGACGATCGTGCAACGCGATGCATTCATCGTTCTCAGCAAGCTCACGGAGCCTGGCCGAGCAAGAGTAGAACGCACTCGACATAGTGGCTGCTCGGAACATGGCCGCGCGAGCAATGCACTGGAAGTTCCTGGCGGCAACGCCGAACCCAAGACCGCCGAGGTTCCGAAGGACTTCCGACGTGATGGCATTCCGAGGCCCGTCGACGAGCAACTGCAGGGAGCGATTTTCGAACTGCTGGGCGAAATGTGGTCGGGGAGTAGAACTGCGATGCGCGAGGCAAGACCGAGACGGCGCACATGTTGAACCGAGCGGGCGAGCGGGGGATCCCGAGACCGAGTCCTTGAATGGCTGTCGTCCTGTCGAGGCACTTTAGAGCAGGCATCTGCCAGCTCTTGTCGCGGCCACCTGGCCCTAGATAAATTCCGAGATACTCGGCAGCCTGGCAGTGCGCAAACTCTGCGTAGTTCACCCAGCTGGGGTGGCAAAATGTAGCGTAGGTATCTGAGGAGCGGGTCGAATGCGATACAAAAGAGCGAGCCTGATAAGGGTCGCCCATGCTTGATCCGACGGCGAGCCCGATACCCAGCAGCGCGGACCCCGCAGAAGTTCATGCTAACCCAGACCCGAGAGCACAGAAGACGAACGGCCCGAATGATGTGTTCGGGGATTATCATAGCTTCCAGGGCCCACCAGATCATCGCGCGAAGAAGGCTGGGGAAGGCGGTGCGCACGTCGAAAAAGGCGAAGCCCGTGCATCGGAAGCCCATCTGGCAGCGCCGCTGCAAAGCCGAGGACTCGAGGGTGATGACATTCTCATTCGCGTTTCGGTTGCGGACAAAACCTCGTTGCTCGGGGATGGCAGTTTCACAGCACATTGAAGAAGACGGAATGTTGAGGGTCCTGGAGGTCAGTGCATTGTCGGTGTCCGACAGGGCGATTGGGCGGGTGGCCTCCGGCTTCCGAAAAAACACCCATGGTCCTGTCCTCGTCCTCGACTCCCATGTCCAGGAAGACAGCGTGGCAAACATTGAATTCGCTGGACATGTTGCCGCCGCGCAGCAACTCGAGGTAGAGAGCGAAAATGATACTTGAACCTCTAGTTCCTGACCTGGTCCACCCAGAGTACGGGACGCCGTCGGGACCCACGCCAGAGTCACGGATTTTCTTCGCGCTTTCACAGAACTCCTCAAAGCAGATATCCCGAAAGATGCGGCCAGGCGCAAAAACAACGCAATCGCAAAAAGTTTCTCGTGCATCCTCCGATCCGCCCCCCAAGCCGCGCGCGGGCCCCCAGTGGTTCGCCAGAAATTTAACAGCGCGGTCAGGATCAGGCACATGCTGACCAGTGGGGTCGGCGACCCCCCCCAGGGAAACGCGCCGATTGGAGCCGCCCCAGGCCGAAAGATACTCCGTCAATCGCTGCTTGGAGGAAGCCTTCTTACCAGGATGCATGTGCGGATCGCTGTCGATCTCCGCAATGTTGGCTTGGATGTTGTCCGCTGCCAGACAATCAAGCCACCTGTAAAAATCTGGCATGTCGGTTCAGCTCTAATCCGACCTGTCGATGAAACTCGAGATGAACGGGTATGCACGCAAAGCTCCGGCAATCCTCGACGGCGGCCCAGTCTGCATAGCTCTGTGAGCAGTGAGTGTCCACGTTAACTGTTCGGGAAGTGTGGATGCTGTGCGAATCTCGACTTCGCGACGAACAGTGGCAGCGGCGGCGCGAATCACATCTTTAAACTCCAATGCAGCTTGGGCTGGCTCGTCAGAGAGCGGGGGAGCGGTGCCCAAATCTCGATCTGGCCAGGAAAAGACTGGCGCTCGCATACCCAGGAAGCAATCCTCGGTGGGCCGGAGGAGCGAAACGGCGTCGGCGACAGGCATACTGGTACGTTATCTGACGGCCATTCTAGATCACAGACTGCCGCAAGTGTCAAGGACTGGGCCTGCGTATCAATAAGCACCGCACTGTGCGCAGTAATGTAAATATTGTGGAGCCTGGCGATCGTCTTGACCGAACAAGAACCTGCATTCACGACTGTGCGTCTGCGCGTGCACGACGGCTGTTCGACCTCGGCGCGGCGCGGGAAGGGGCGGCTGAGCTGCTTGGCGAGCGAGCAGGGGGAGAACGTAGTGTGCGAGTTGGCGTGAGCGCGGCCTTCCCCCTCGGAGCAAACATTGAAACCGCCGAGTGGATAAGAGGTAGCGTGAGCGGGTTGAAGAGAACGACGCTGGCTATGTTGTAGCACTTGTTGCCGAGCAGGGAAAAGGGGCGACGGACCGACGCGCGCATCAACAATCTGTAATGCGCCGCGCGGACAACGCAAAACAAGCTCATGCACTCGACCCCTTCCGAAGTACAGGATGGGTGGCGCTGGTGAGACGCCGCGCTAGCCTAGGACGGAGCAGGATAGTGCATCCGCCTTTGTTGCCGCAAGAGAAGAACGTGCCGTAGCCTTGCAAACCCTCAATCTCTTTACGAAGGTAATGGAGGTCCTCGGGGGTCCCGTGAGTCTCCCGGATAGCGATCATGTCGCGGTTTGGAATATGTTTTCGAAGCTGGGCGAACGCGTCGATCGTCAGCTGAATCGGGGAAGACGAAGAGCCAAAGAGGGCTTGCACGTTCCAGGTAACGATGGAGATGTGATCGGTGACGAGGAAGGGCAGGTCGCGGAAAGCGTTGGCGGATGCAGATGGCGGCGAACAGGCGGAGGAAGAGGAAATGGAAACAGAAGACGAAGCAGGCGAAGATGAGGCCGAACTGGCGCTGTCGCTTTCACTATCACCGCGGTCGATGACCAGACCGCTCTCACCGACGCAGGGCGAACGTGGCGGCATGCACGTACTCGGTTCCGACGGGGTGGCCTCCTCTTCCATCGCGGTCGAGATCATCTCCGCAACGGCGTCAGGGTCAAGCCCGGACTTGGTGAGGTTGACGGAATTGGGGTCGCACACGAACTGGTCGCGGTCCTTGGCAACCAGCGTGAAGAGGACGAGGATGCCGTTGTCCGTCTTGATGTAGAGCACCCCCTTGGCGCCATTGGAGCCCATGGTGTACTTGTCGTTCCACTTGTTGTCGCTCTTGAGCGCCAGCATGACGGCCTGCCAGAGCCTCCCGAGGTACTTGTTCTTGACACGGATGGACATGGGGGCGTCGTAGCGCACCCTGAGCGTGATGATGGTGTTGGTCGCAGTGTCCTGGAACTGGGGCGCTGCGTTATTGAACTGGTCGACGAAAAGCTTGGCGCCCGCCTCGCTGCTGAAACGGAAGCTGTAGCTCCGGTTGAGGTTGTAGCCGCGGATCGTGGCGCCTGCACTGTGTTGACAGGGGATCCTGCCGAGCAGCATGCGCCCGTGCTGCTCCAAGGTGGCGCCGAGCATCGGCGAGACAAAGCCCGTGATCCAAACTTTCAGCTTGTCGCGGTGTTCGGCCTGAAGAGGGTCATCGTGTCGTCCTGGGCCAGTAGGAATACCTGTGACGATGTGGCGCTTCTTGGCTGAGGGAAACGACGCGGTACTGCCAGCGCTGGATCCTGCGAGGGAGGAGCTGTTGATCTTGGCCTCGAGCTTGGCGAACTCTGCCGCGACCTGCGCGTCCATGACCGCGCCAACCTGTTTGTTTTCCAGAACCTCCAGGCGGTTGTGTAGCTCGATGAGCTTGGTGTTCGTGGACCCCACGTGCTCCTTCAGCTGAGGCAGCTCGGATAGCGTCACATTGATGTCCGTGAACTGCTTGGAGAAATAGACGTTCATCGCGTCGACCTTCTCGAGAATTGACCTGATGCCGTGTTCTATGGCAGCGGCAGCCAAGGCCATGGCGGAACACTGAAAGGAGAGGAAAGCCCTCCGGCACCCAGCAGGTGGCTGTGGGAAGAAGCCCTGAGAGCTGGGGCGATGAAATCACTTGGAGGTTGCTCGAGCCGCCCCGTCGGCTTGAGCCAAAATGGCTACGGAGGAGGAGGAGGAAGAGAAGGAGGAGGAGGAGGAGGAGGAGGAGGAAGAGAAGCAGGAGGAGGAGGAAGAGGAGGAGAAGGAGGAGGAGGAGCAGGAGGGAGGAGAGGAGGAGGAGGAGGAGAGGAGGAGGAGGGGGAGGGGAGAGGAGGGGAGAGAGGAGGAGAGGAGGAGGAGGAGCAGGAGGAGGAGGAGGAGGAGGAGGAGGAGGAGGAGGAGGAGGAGGAGGAGGAGGGGGAAGAAGGGGAAGGGCGTCGGCTCCGAGGGGGCGCCTGTTCGCACCGCGCTCGAGCGCTCGAGGTGCAGCGATACAGAGAGGGAGAGGCTGCGGAAGCGCCCGAGCGCGGCATCATGGCAAGAAAACGGCGGGCGTCATGCCTGGGGCCGCGGGGGGGAGGAGAGGGCCCTGACATCGACCCGTGACGCCAGCGTGGCCCGTTAGGCGGGGCAGCGCGCCAGCGGCCCACGCCACGCCTCGCAGAGCCTCCCCGCCCGCTAGGACGACGGGCCCTCGCTGCAGCCGGCGGCGAGCGAGGCGGGGGGAAGTGAGGAGGAGCAGGCCTCCTCAGAAGGCTTGGAGGCCCCCGGGCCTTCTGCGAAGCTGTCTAAGCCTCTCCCGCAGACACAAGGAGCATCTCAGGAGGCGCAAGGCAAGGGGTTCCGAGAAGTCCCGCCGCCTGCCGAGAGGGCCTACTCCTGCTCACTTCACCGCCGCGCTCGCCGCCGACTCGGCAGCAGATCAAGGGAACCATGCATGCCCCTCCGCAGTTCCGCTCTCAGGATGCACGAGCACCGGTGGGTGTGTGGCGATCGATGAGATAATCAAAATTCAGCGTCGACGAGCGTCGATTCGCAAGAGCGAGCGCGATGGTATGGGAGCCTACCATGAGGTGCCACTGGAGGTGAGCGGAACGAGTGATGCAGGAGAGGGCTGGAAGCCCACACAGCGACGGCCCTAACCATATTAGGAACCAGGAGACACTCTTCAAGGCGAGCCGACGTCCTCCCTCACTGCCGAGGCTATCGCTCTGGACGGAGTTGTCCTGGCAACAATGGCCATCACACCTGCAATCATCAACAGGCTGTCATCACCTTGACCTGGGCCTGGGCCTAGCGAAACAAATAGAAACAAATAAAGACGGATGGTGGACTGAGGGAGGAGGGCGGAGAGGGTCAGAGGAAAAAGGGGCGATAAAAACTTGGGATAAGACGTAGCGAGGACAAGGACACATTCAGATGAGGATCCATCGAGAATCTCTGAGATCCAGCGGCTCTGGAGGATGTATCCGGCGTCGCGGCCTTCTCGGGGCGTTCCAGAACGCCCTGAGAGCGTTCTGGAACGCTCTGGAACGGATCTTGCCTCGTCTGTCATGACTTTTTCACGTCGACCCCCAGAGGTCTGGACCTTTTCCCCAGAACCAGTTTCTCATCCTGAACCGTTTTTTGACCGTAAGGGCCCCCAGAGGCCGAATAGAGCGAAAAGCCTCCCGTCGTGATCTTTGTCACGACGCGAGGAAGTGTGGGTGTATCCTCGTCCTGACCCCGTCCGACGGTAGCGAAGAAGATCGGGGGCACGCCTCGGCGGAGAGAGGAAGGAGCAGGGGGGGCGAAAGCCCGACCGCGGCCGCTCGGGGGGCTCGAGAGGGGCCTCGAACTGGGAGGGGCCTGGGCGCAGCCGGCTGGGGTTAGGTCGGGCGCGTCCCCCCACAGGCGGATTTTGGACGGAACAATAATCAAAACATATTCAAACCATATACAAAAATACTATCAAAAATCGCCCCCGGACTATTGGTGGACCATTTTTGAATTTTCCTCCTGTAGAGGGACAGGCCCGATTTCAGAGTGGGGGACTGAGGGCGGGGGGGCAGTGGCGGGAGGGGGGCGGGAAAAAGGGAGGAGCATGGGGGCTCGTCTTGGTTAAAGAAAACTGATTCGATGGGATATGTTCGCGCTTGGCTCTTGGCCCTCGCTGGGGCATCCTGGGAGGTATTTGGAGACCTCTGGGGGGACCCGCGAGGAGCTCTGGAGACCTCCTGGGAGAGGGTGGTGGACGAGGAGGAGGAGGAGGAGGAGCAGGAGGAGCAGGAGGAGCAGGAGGAGGAGGAGGTGGAAGAGGAAGTGGTGGTGGTGGTGGTGGTGGTGGTGGTGGTGGTGGTGGTGGTGGCTGGCCATGTAGGCAGGTTAGACAAAGTCCTCGTCGGAGGCCTCCGAGACGTGGTCGGGGCCCCCGCCGCCGCCCGACTGGCCAAGCTCCTTTGCTCGGTCTAAGCCGGCGGCACGTAGCCCAAAGGCCGACAGGACTGATGCCTGCGGGGGCAAAAGGAAGGGCCCTCCCGCGGCTGCCCCACCCGTGGCGGGGCTCGAGCCTGCGGAGGACAGCTGCAGCGAGCTCTCGAGCTCCGCCCTCTCCTCAGCACCCAGAGACACTGGCTGACTGAACGCGATGGCCTGCGAAGTGCGCCGATAGTGGGGGTGCTTCCCCCGCTTGATGCGCCTCAAAGGGGACCTGACCTTCGGGCCCGCTGGCCTTCCGCTCACGCCGCGACAGCAACATACCGTCAGGCTTCCCCGAAGTGTAGCCCCCCCACACCTAAAGCAAAACAAAATCTTGCCCGAACCCGCGGACGGCCCCTCGACGTCGCACCTGAGCAAGCCAATACCCGCGGAAATAAAAGGCATTCAAGGCCTTGTGCTCCTCGGCGGCAAAGCCAAACGCGTCGCCCCTGCCTTCCTGCTGGGCGAGCCAAACCTCGAGCCTGCCCGCCCACCTCCCCTGCTCTTGACAGAGGGCCTTGAACTCTCCGATCGAGCTAGAATGCTCTTCAGTGGCTCCATGCACTAAGGCTCCTGCTTTAGCATGGCGGTCCGCGGCCCAGTTCGCGCGAAGCTCCCACCAGGTCGTCTTGCCAGACTCCACGTCAGCACTGCCCGCGTGGGCAAGCGTTCCGAAAGCCTAAATCTGCATTGGAAAACGCAGCCCAAAACGGAGCCACATGCGCCCTCTTGGGGCCCAAGCCTCGGCCCCCGTGCCTGGGCCCCCGCAGAGAACATCGAACGTCGACTGGCACTCGAGATACGCTTGGAACGCCCCCCCCCCCCCCCATACATGTGGATCGCGAAATCTTCGCCATTCCTGGCAGTCTGTCGGAGGCCGAAGGACAGGGGCACAGGGCCAAGCGCTGCGTGCAACACATTGCCGAGCCTGTCCACTTGCACTATCGTCCAGCCCGCCCGACTGACTCATTCGGTCGACGGCCGCATGGCCGAGCCGTCGCTGAAAATGCATCCCGTAAGGCACCCGCGCGCAGGCTCGTTCACCCACTTGACACCCACTCTGCGCGTCCTCCTCCGCGTCGTCGCGCCCTGCCCCCCGCGCGCCCCGCGTGCCTTCCTCCTCCGTCTCGACTTCTGCCGTCTCCTGCTCTGTTCCTCGCGCTCCTCGCGAAATGGTCGTCGACCCCCCCTCGTCGTCTCTCCGCGTTTGCGCGCGAGCCCCTGCGCCCCCCTTGCTCTCAGACACTGCCCGGCAGGCCCGCCGCTCCTCGGCCCCGGCGGGCCCGCGGAAGCACCCGCAAGAAGCGCGGGTAACAAGGGCCCCGAACTTCGCGCTTGGCGCTGCGCGCAGCGCCCAGTGCGAACAATTTCGTGCTCTCGCGCCGCCCCCCAGGGGAGACGCGGAGGACGAAGGGGAATCGTAGCCGAACCGCGAAGCGCGAAACTTCGCGCCCTCGAGGGCGCCCTTGGATAAGCACGTTGGCCCATGCGCCCCGCGCGCGCAGCCTCAGCTTCGCGCCGCCGCGCCGCGTCGCGCCCGCCCCAGGGCGGCCCCTTGCGAGAAGGGCCCGGACGTCCAGCCCCCCCCCCCCCAAAAAAAAAAAACTCGCAACGAATCCCGACTCTCCTCCTGCGAGCGGCGTTTCCGTGGGCCCCTGGAACTGCGCCCCCGCCGCGCCGCGAGAAACGTCTAACGGGCCCGAAGAGGCCCCAGGGAGGCCCAGAACAAGCCCCCGGAGGCCCCCCCAGCTGCCCCAGACAGCCTCGCGCGTGGACTTTTTCCCGTTTATGGGGGGCAGTGGAATTGCGCGGGCATCGTGGACCGCGGGAGATGAGCTGGAGCAGCGGGAGGAAGAGCTGGGCAAAGACTGGAAGCGCCGCCTGGCCCTGGAGGCAGCACGCACAGGAAGGCGCCCGCGCGCTCGACAGCTGGGGCGGGCGGCGCGGGGGGCGGGCGAAGTAGTCGCGGGAATTGACTATTCGAGGGCACTGCGCATGATGGAATCAGCCTGCTCTTAGTCCACCTGGAACGATTGGAACGCCCCCTGCTCGGCTGCCAGGCTGGCAGACGTGCCAGGATCGGTAAACCACAGAATACGTTTGGTCCGTATCGCCGAGCTGGATGTCCTGCCCAGTCTGATTGCTGGCGAGGTGCTGAAATATGCCTTGCCACACTTTCCTCAGAGTTATTGCGCCTGCGAGCATCAGCTGTAATATCTCCCAAGGCACGAATCCGAATGTTGCCTCGCGGCGATGGGGAGACCGATCCATGAGACTTGATTTGACCTGAGACCGCGCGAGCACTGGCCTCGGACTCAAATGTGGCACGGAATGAACGCCACGTTGAGGTGATAGGCTTCGACTCCCTTGGTAGCCATGTGGCTGGGAAGATGGGGAATGGCCTGGATATCCAGAGGTTGGGCCATGACCCTCGACGGCACAGGAGTACTAAAAATGTTGCATGGGCTCGCACGATTCCCACAGCCCTGGCCAGATTCTATGATCAGAATGGAAATGCCGCCATGCCCACTGCCCCTACCAAGCCTCGAAGTAGGACACGACTAGGAATTGAAAGGCGGACTGGCTGAGCTCGACCGCGTGCTGGAAGCATCGCTCGCTTGCCGGTCAACGATAATGTTGGCTTCAATTTTCTCGACGAGAGCGCTCTTGAGCCTCGTTGCAGCCGCCGGCGAGGATGGTCTCGAGCTCGGACAGCCTGGCCCCGATAGAATTGACTCTGCGATCGTGCTGGTCGACGGCAGTTGTCTTCGCGATCATCGCAGGTGAGAACGCGCCCCCCATCCTGGCGGGGATCTCGCGAAGAGAGTCGACAAACGGAACCTTTGGCGCGAGTCCGAACCAATCGTCGACAGCGTGGGAAACGCCTGCTAAATGTGACTGTGAAATCCGCCCGCCTGGCCACGACACTCAGATTGCCCTCTGCGGGGGGCTGCCCACCACACAAAAACTTCAGCTAAAACGGCAACGAGCACAACGGCGGAGGAGGAGGGAGAGGAAGATGAGGAAAAGGACCATACTGATGATGATAATGCTGATGACTATGATGACGCAGCCCCTTCAGGCGCCAGGTTATCCGATGAGCAACGCACGAATTGCATGCTGTCTCTTAGAGATCGCCCTCGCACGAGCCTTGAAGAAGGCCTCGATGCACGCCGGACCGCGCCGCTTCAGCGCGCGCAGCGACGTTCACGTGCAAAACATGAGGTCGCGCACCAGGATTGCCGAGAGCATTGGCTGAGAGGACAGAGCACGACAGCGATGAGGC